GATAGAAATTATCTAAAATATAAACCCTTCAGTCCAAGTTACAAAGGGTTTTGCCTTGTATGTCTAAAGATTTGGACAAGCACGAGATAGTGAACATGAATTAACTGAGATGAAGGTCTGAGAAGACCTTGATGTCTGCAGTTCAGCACTGATAATTTAGCTTATTTATACAAAATTTAATTTATTTACATACTGCCCCTCTTTCTCAATCAGACCTCTGTCAGCTGAGTGACCTGTGGAGTTCACACAGACAGAGGCCAGGCAGATGGGTTTGATTTTCTCTTTGCATTTTGGATTTGAAAACAAACTGCAGATAAAGAACTGGAACTGCTAGATAATGTGTTTATCTAATGGAAACATAAATACCACGTTTAATCCTGAAGCTCTGCCCATAGTGGTATATTTTGGCTGTCTGCTCCTTCAGGCTCTTGGGATTTTGTGTGTTCTGAACATTCCCAGCAGAAACTGGAACTTCTGTAAATAGGCCAGCCTGCTCCAGGTGACACAGCATGGAAACACTGAGCAGTTCTTGTTCTTGCTGCCAGGCTTCCTTAAAACATTTTTCCTGGAATATTTCAGCTCCAAATTTATATTTGATTCTGTTCCTGATCTGCTCTTCACTGACTAACTCAAGACCAGCTGTCCCCTGTCTTGCCAGCATGAGATTCAACCCTGAGAGAATCCTCATTTTCCAAAACAGCAAAGCTGTGTTTTGATACAATAATCTGAGTATTACAGTGCCTTGGCAAGGCAAAAGATGGGAATTCTGGTCAAGTTGAGATGTGTTGCTGCTTTTGTAGCAATTAGGAGTCCTTACCACAATTAAATATTTAATTAGGTGTTCATAAAGCAGAGGACACAGAAGTGGGGACAGCATTCAGTAATGAACACTAATGACTGTGGCTGCAGTGCCCTCAGGGATTCTGATGTTGTTGTACATTTATTTCCTAAGAATAATTCATGAGATCCTGGAGTGTTGGTCAGCATTGCTGAGTACCTCTGCACACAACATCTAATTGTTAATTATCATTGAACTTCTCCAGGAGATATTTACTGGTGAGTAGAAAAAGTAATAAATCTCATCTCTGCAAAGGTTTGCCCCTCAGCCTGAATATTTAATCAAGAAAAACTTCTCATCACTTGGGAAAAATAATAATATTATTGTCCTGTGGCAATCCAGGGGTAAAGAACTGGAGTTTATTTACCAAGACCTTGTCCACAGTGAAGATTTTTTCGTTGTTGTTGCTTATAAACCTTTTCCTGGGAGCTGAACTCATCACTGGAGGGTCTTTTAGTTTCAATTCTCCATTGAGGTGTTGGGAATTTTGTTTGTGTGCATGTAAAGTCATTCTGAACCTGCTGCCTCAGGACAATGAGGATGGTTTGATGTGAGCTGATGTGTGTTTGCTCTCAGTGCCCTCCCAGGGGCTGCAGCCACAAGCCCACCTGCACTGCTCATCTGCCTTGTCCAGAGGAGTTGCACTCTCCAGATTTTGCATTTAGGGTTTATATAAAGCATCCTCTTTGTGCAAAAGGTGTTTTCTTCAATCCCCCAGTGGCGTTTTTTGACTTTCCCTGCAATTCATTCTTCAATAACCTCCCATTCATAGAGTGCTTCATCTCAGGGGCTGTCCCAGGAGATCCCAGAGCCCAGGCTGAGGTTTAAACAACGAGAATCATCCAAAAACCCCAATTCTGGCATTTCATTAGGAACAGATGAACAGCAGAGCACTGCAGCAAAGAGCTGCTCAGTTTGCATTTGACAGAAGGCAAATGTTCATGGTGAAAATCCACCCTGCAGATTGGCTGAGGAGCTGAACAAGTGCAACAGTGCCTAAAGTCACCCCTGAATGACAAAATGTTACAAAAGGCATGGAGGGGTCTGCTTTGAGGTTGAAAAGGAACCATTTTCCTACAGACCCTAGAGAATATTGAACTATTAATTGGGCTGTTGCATTGTCCTGTGTGTGAAAGTTTTGGAGGGAGTAATTCCCCCAAGTTCCAAGCAGGATGCTCCAGGCCCCTCATTAAATTAACCCCATTTTCTGTCTGCTCCTAGGAAGGATCAGTGGGGGCCACACTGAAGTGACCATGAAAGTGCCACTGACGGTGGAGATGGCTCTGTGTGACAACTCTGCTCCTGAACTACCCCAAAAATCTGCATTTTAGGAGGTGAGCTTGCAGAACAGCCCCAGAGCTGCCAGCAAAGCGCTGAGAGGAAACCCAGCCCAGCCACCGAGTGATTTACTACCCAAACAAACCTTGCAAGGAGCTCCAGGGAGGGAAGGAGCATTTCACTTGTTAGGAGGAGAGCCTAAATACTGCATTTATCTGATTCAAGAGTCCCAAGCTTTTATTGGGCTATTTGTACCTAATTTGTTTGATGGGAGCAGTCCCAGGCCAAGCTGAATTTCCCAGTGTTTTTATTCAGCTCTAAGGAGAATTCCTTCTCCCTTGGCAGCCTCCTCTCCTGCTGGGCACCATTAACTGCTGCAGTTTGGAGCTGCAGAATTGGGCAGAAATTACAGTTTTCCCTTTTTTCCTGCCTCTGAATGATATTCTGAGCAGCTGCTCTGCATTCTCTCCACACTGAGGCCAGAGCTGCTCTTCCTTCTCATTCAGCTACTCAAGGCAAGAGATCATTTTCATATTCCTGCACTTCACGTCTGATTTTTCCAGAAGAGAATGAGCAAAAAAGAATACATGTTTTAACAGCACCCTGGTGAGTTACAGAGTATTCACAGGTAATCCATATTTTATCTGTCTTCTCCACCAAAACAGGCAAAATTTTCAGAGATTTGGCACTTGGATGAAAGCACATTCCAAGTGAGGGTTGCTGGCTTCACCACAAAATCCACTTTGACCTGGAAATACCAGAATTCCTGCCTGGGATCCACCTGATTTACCAATTACACAAAACCAGGCTTGTTCTTTTCACTCTCCTAAAGCCTTTGGATCCATGTGAAAAATCTTTCCCTCCTTTAGGATAATTTTAGCTTTGCTCAAAACCTCCTTATTTCAGTGCAGTGATTATTAAAAAACTTGTGTTTTCTGAAGGGGCAAACTGGGTTCTGGAGTCCTCTTTCCTCAGCAGGGAGAGCAGATCTCTAAAATGTATAATCCAGCTCTGTTCCAAGTGAAGCTTTCACTCAGATGAAAACATGTTCAGGGCATTTAACTTGATTAGGGGAAATTTACTATTCCTATTCCTTTTTTGTCACCATCCTCCCATTAAAATTTATGAGGGCTGATTAGTACATGATATTTTTTTCTGTGTTTTTTTTAATCAGAGAGCATCTTTAAAAAAAGAAATGAGGGCTCAGCTCTGGCAGCTGCACTTCCTTGCAGGCACAGTTTAAAGCAAAGGTTTCTATATGAACTTAATGTCCAGTTTTGGGGGGGAGGTAGAAGCTTTACATTTTGATTATTGAAAATTACTACATGTTCACAAATCAGCAAATTGGTTTGCAGGGAAACATTCTGAGGTTTCAGCTTTCAGAATCTCCAAATTCCTGCACCAGGTCCCCCTGGGGGCTGTCACCTCTCCTGGCATTAATTCCTGCCAAAGCCCCATCCCTCCTGTACAGCCAAAATCAGTTCTCAGATCAGAAACAAAGCACCAAGGCAGGCAAAAAATAACGTGGTTTCAACCATCTTTTTTTTTTTTCTTTTAAAGCATAAATGAAATTAGCACCACTGTGACTGAGGAACACTCCTTGATGTCAGATAAGTATTCACTGCAGGCCTTAACCAAGTGGGTTTTAAGACCATTCAATTACAGTGCATGACTTTATTCAATTAGAGGGGGGAAAAAAAAAGGTTGAGAGGATGCCTGGGAACATTCCAGCACAATTTCCATCTTAATGATTTGCAGCCCTGCAGATTGTCAGGTCACTTTCTGCAGTGTCTGGAAGGCAGAACAATGAAACCACCCCAGGGTCTCCTTGGTGGGTTTGTACAAAGGAGACTTCAAGAGAGGGTCCAAGATGAATCTTTGAGATGCTCAAATTCAGCATTGATTCACTGGACTGCATGGAGAGCACTGCAGTTAGAATGAATTTGATGATGCTGCCTCTTCATTTCTTAATGCATCTGTGTCATTGGATCAGAATTTAATTCACTTTTCACTTCAGTTTGATTTATTGTTCTCTTTAGCCCAATTTCTTTAATAAACAGGAATGTTAGCAAAGGACTTCTTGAAAACAGGGAATTGGGATTTAATGTGAGAGCCTCCAGTTTAGAGCACCTGGTCTACCTGCTAAAGAACATTTATTACCTTGGGCATTTTCTTCTGTAGATAAAGGAAGAAATTGCTTCAGTGCTACCACCAGGTTACAGATTTGAGTTCCTATCAGTGCACAAGACCACAACATTATAACCATTAAAAATCAGGAACACAGGTACTTTGTCTTTTTTTTTCACAATCAGGTACCTCTTCCTTGGTCCTTAAGAGAGGGGGGGGGGAAAAAGGAACAGATAAGTGCAGATTAGTGGGTTTAAAACCCTTTACAGAAATTTCACATATTTACATTTTATACTTCCATTCCAGGTATAAATTTAGCCAAAATTAAATCAAAGGATGGGTTTTCCCTTCTGTCTCCAGTGAGCCAACAATATTCAAACCTTGTCCTCACTGTCCAGAACTGATGAGTTTTTACCTGTAGAAAAAGAATCTGTAAAAAAGACAATACAGTAAGAAAAGAACTTTTAATAATCTAAGGCTAAAATGGTAAGAAAAGATAAGTGAAATTCAGAGTATTAACTGAGCCTGAAGAAGTCTCTTTTCCCCTCCTTTCTCCAAAGTCAGCTCTGTTGTCTCCCCTCAAAACCCAGAGGTATGGAAATATCTTAGAGCAGAAGACATTGGGGAGGGGATTTTATAGGACATTTTTGATAATGTATTAAAAATATTTGGAACTAATCAAAACATACATTGTGCCAACACATACAAAAAGCAGAGGAGAGAGGCAGCACCAGTGGCTCAGTCCTTGGACCCCTGCTCACTGGAAGAGGCTGCTGTGGTGCAGAACATCAAGGGCAGACCCAAAGGTCAGCACTTCCTTGTGGAACTTGCTGAGCTGCATCTTGATTTTCTTCAGGGCAGGAGTTGTTGCCTTCCTCTTGTAGCTCATGGCTTTCAAAAATTTATCAGCCAGGTAGTGCAGCCAGAGGACGTTGCTGTGGGGGTGGTAGTCAGTCCAGCTGTTGGAGTTCTCCTCTTTCATCTGCCTGTAGATGTCAAACTGGGGGTCCCCGGTGCCCTGGAAGAGCTCCAGGTCCGTGGAGAGGTCACAGAAGACGGTGAGCCCGTCCTTCTCCAGGCGGGACAGGGTGTAGTCGATGATGCTGACCTGGAGGCCAGCAGTGGGGATGGAGTGTGTCTCTCCACTCAGCACATACTGCAGCTCCCTCAGCTCTGTGCTCCTGACCAGCACGTTCCCCCAGTGCAGGTCCCTGTGCTCGAAGTGCAGCTCCTGCTCTGCCACTGCCAGCGATGCAGTGACCTGGTGCAAGATGCTCCTGGCCGACGCCACCGAGGAGAAGCTGCCCCTCATGCGCTCCAGGTCCCGGCCTCCAAACTCAAACTCCAGCACCATGAACAGCTGCTGGGCCCCAAAAAAGTCTGGCCGGTCGTTTTCCGAGCCTGTTTCTTTGTGGAATTTGTCCCAGGCTTCCAGGAGATACCTGGGATAGGCCCCCTGGACACAGTGCACAGAGTAGAGGCTGATGAACCCCACAGTTCTGTTCACAGAGCCCTCAGACAGAAGACTGAGCTCTTTTGAAATTATTACCTCAGGCAGAATCTCCCCAAAGCTCTTCTGAGCTTCACCATTTACTTTTTCAGTCCCCTCAATGGGAATTATTTTTAAGGCCACAGGTCCTCTCTCGTTGTCAATCTGGAACACCTCTCCAAACACCCCTTCTCCAATTTTCTTGCAATCTTTCATCTTATTTAAAGGAATGCACTCCTCAAAAGCAATAGGCCCCTCCTGGTTGCATTCTCCAAACACTTTCTCAGCATCTGTAAGGAGCAGCTCCTCCAGGACAGAGGAGGAATCCTTGGGAGCCAGCAGGACCATGGAGGAAGCAAACCAGGAGCAGCCCTGAGCTTTTCCAGCAGACAGGCTGGCTTGGTACCCCGAAAGCTGGGATTTCCCTGAGGGGGTGCAGAGGATGCTGCTGCAGAAACTCTCATCTGTGGTCACTTTCTTCTTTTTATGGAAGGACAGAGACGCTCGAACTCTAGCCCAGGAATAGGAGTTATTGAGGAGTGAAGAGTCACTGTCTCTGAGACCTACAGACATCTCCAGAGCTCTCCTCCGAGTTCGTTTTTGCCTCGTCTGGAGTCTGAAAAGGGAATTATTGGGCTGCTGCTGCCTCTTGTTCTTGTGCCTTCTCGGCCGGAGGCGGGTGTGCCTGCCCCAGCGGCTGGCACTGAAGCCACTGATACAAGCTTTCCTGCAGGTGCTGCCCTCCCCAGGGACACCCTTGGTCCTTTTGTGCTTGTTCTCCAAGATCCCCTGGCGGCCCACGGGAGATCCTGGCTGCAGGCAGGCAGGTTGAACATCAGCCTGATTGCTGGGTTTCATGCTCTTCAACCTCATTGGCACTTCCAGAGGGTCCAGGACCACCACTGGCACAAGCTGGTACTCTTTGGCCAGGTCTCTCTGACAACTCGAGTTTTTTTTTGCCGAACATCTTGTGAGATGAGATCGGACCTCACAGGGCTCCTCACGAGTGCCACTGTCACAGGACACAAGGGGCTGTGGCTCACCCTCCAGGGGCGGGGAAGTGCTTGGGGCTTTCAGCGGGGACGGTGCAGCCTGTGCCGGGCAGGGTCCCCGCACCGCCAACCTCAGACCACGGCGGGACCCCCGCAGCCCGGGCTGGGGCTCACAGCTCCGAGCCGAGTCTCGCGCTCGGAACCACTCAGGCACCTCCTCGCCAGCACTCAGCAGCGACGGCCGCTGCCCGGAGCACCCCTCGGGCGAGCCGCGGGGCAGCCGGTGCTGCGAGCGGGACTCGCCCAGCGCCGAGCCGCCCTCGATGGTGGTGCTGAGCAGGAGCGAGCTGAGGCGCAGGGGCGAGCGGCGGCGGCGGCGGCGGGGCGGGGGGCTGTCCCCGGGCGCCGAGGCGCTGTCGGCGGTGGAGCTGAGCACCAGCGGCGCCCATTGCGGGGTGCTGCACAGCAGCGGCGGCCGCGCCGCGCACAGCGGGCCCTGCCGGCGGCGCCGCGAACCGCGCGGCGGGGACGGCGACGGGCACGGTGAGGGCGAGGACAGCGAGGGCGGCGAGCGCCGGGGCTCCTCTCTGCGCCCGCGGGGCTCTTTGCTCTGGCTCGGCTTCTTCTTCCTCGGCGGCTCCTGGTTCTCCTTTCCTCGGCCCCGCGTCCCCCGCCCCTGGTTCTCCTTCCCGGCCGGTTCCCGGTTCTCCTTCCCGGCCGAGCCCCGGTTCTCCTTCCTGCGGGTCCGCAGCCGCCGGGCCCAGGCGGGGCGCTTACCGAGGGCCTGCAGGGGCCGCTTGCCGGGCGGCGAGAAGTCGGGGTCGTCCGAGGGGGTGGAGCCGGCGCTGGAAGCGGAGAGGGCGCTGGAGGCGGCGCTGGAGGCGGCGGAGGTCGAGCTGAAGAGGCTCTTGCGGTTCTGCGGCGGCGAGATCCATCGGTCGGGCGGCGGCAGCGGGCGCAGGTAGCCGGCGCGCCGCGAGTAGGTGCGAAGCAGCCGCGGCTGCAGCGGCATGGCGGGGCCGGGCGGGCCGGGCCCTCTGAAGGAGCCCGCCCGCCGCCCGTTCGAACGGGTATCGCGAGAGCGCGCGAGAGCGGGCGAGAGCGGGGCTAACGGACGGGACACGCCCACGGGACGCGCCCCGGACACGCCTCCCCGCCCGGTGTCACTGCCGGTGCTGCTCCCGGTGTCCCGGTGCCGCTCCTGGTGCTGCTCCCAGTGTCGCTCCCGGTGTTCCGGTGTCGCTCCCGATGTCCCGGCGCTCCGCAGCGTTTCCGTGGCGTTCCAGGACCGCCGGGATGAGCGGTGCCGGCGCTGCTCCATCCACACTCTGAGACGCGTGGCAGCGACGGCAGAATTAATTAATTAATTAATTAATTAACCTGTATTTTGCACCTCTGCACGGAACACACCCGTGTACGTGTGTTACACCTGTTTACCATTCAGCGGGGGACACCGGCACGCCTTGCCCGGGAAGGATGCGGGTGCCCCAACCCAAAGCCAGGCTGGATAAAGCCGTGAGTGACCTGGGATAAGGGGAGGTGTCCCTGCACGTGGCAGCGAGCTTGGGAATGGACGATCTTTAGGGTGCCTTCCCACCCCAGCATTCGATGACTCTGTGTGTAAAAATAGGATTTATTGCAGGTATCCCCAGCGCAGGGAGGCTCCAGGGCGCGTTCAGGGTGTGCCCTGCCCTGCCCTGCAGGACCACAGGTGATGCTATTCCCTTTTATCCCTGTTTTATCCACAGCCGGCTCTCCCAGGGCTCAGCAGGGATGCTGCAGCTCCATGTCGCGCCGGCACTCCATCGGGAGCCTGTATCGGGCTCTTTTATTAAAGCAGCATGTTCCTTTATAGTTTTACAGGATATTCACATTTGCTTAGCAAACACATACACTGCCCATTGGGCATGAAAAAGAAACAAAACTCTCAATAGGTAAAAAGCAGCCACATCACTCTGAGCCAACTAAAGTCCATATATTTTTATTTTCTCTATTTCTCCACGTTGTCATGGTGACAGCCTTGGTACCCTCCTCGAGAGAGATACGGGGCTTTCCTTATCCTCAAGAAGCCTCCTCTGGCTCACAAGAACAGCACAAAAATGTCTTTCCTGCAGCTCTCCCGCTCCCTCCAGCCGCAGTTTGGCCCTTCAAGCCCTGCAGGCTTCGGTGTCGCTGTCGCAGCTGTCGCTCGGGCTGGGGACAGGGGACGCAGCTTGGTGGCAGCACAGCACTGGGATCCTGCAGCTGAGCGTTGCTGGAAAGCTGCCGGTGGTTTGTTCCTTTCGTTTCTGTTTCCCGTTGTTCTTAAAAAGCTTAAAGAGCTGTGCTGCTGATCCCTGAGAAAAAAAACCAACCAAACAAAAAAAACTCCAAACAAACAACAACAACTACAAGAAACCACCAAAAAAACCAACCGACCCCCCCCCAAATCCCAAAAACCCCAAAAAACAAAGCAAAAAACCCCAAAACAAAAACCCAAACAAAACAAAACACAACAACAACAAACAACCAAACAAACAAAAAACAAAAAAAATACAAAAAAAAAAAACCCAGAGGGAAATTATCTCCAGCAGAGAACTCCACCTGCAAGAGGAGAGCCTGAGGGTCACACAGGCAGCCTGGGCCTTCCCTCGGGGCAGCAACAGGTGGGACACCCAGAGGGGTTTGCCGAGCACAGAGAAGCAATCAAATCCCAAAGTTAAATTCTGCACCTTTTGTTCCGTCTCTGAGTTTAGTGAAATCAGGTTTTGACTGTGGGACAGAAGCAGAGGGAGGATATTTGTCATTGCAGAGCAGAGAATATGCAGGTTCTGTTTGGAACTCTTGTACTGATGCGGTTAAAGCAGAGGCCTCCTGTTCTTTCAGGGATTTTTATCCTGAATTCTGACCTTTCCCCACTGAACCCAGGGAAATCTTTAATTCTTTAATCTGAGAGACTGACCCTGGTGATTTATCAGCTGCAGGTTATCAGTAATTGCAATTTGGGGGGTTTGGGGAAAGAAGATGCCTGGCCAGGCCTTGTGTTCTTCCAGTGAAATGATCTCAGGCCTTTGTGGATTCCAAAGAAAGTCAAGGATGGGCACTTGGTAATGTTCCTTTCTCTGTCTCCTATTCTTGTGGTTGTTTTTATTTATTTCTGTCCTGTTTGGTTGACCATAAACCCCACAGATCTAATGTGTGTTTGTAGACAGCAGCAGAATAAACAAAGATTTCTCATTCAGACCTTCAGAAGACAAAAGGGCTCCTGTCTCCTTTGGCCTAACCAATATTGGAAAAAGAACAAACAGTTCCTTCTCTCCTTTATTTTTCTAGTTTCTTCTCTGAATTAATCTTCTTTTATTACTTGGATGCCTTTTGTTGTCCCTCATGGCTCTCAAGGAGGTCAGCTCTTGCAGTGGGTAATGCTATTTTCCTTTTTAGATGTTTTTTTCTCCTAAATGCATTACAGGGCTCTGTGATTGTAATTTCCGGCGAGTTCCATCGACCATTTAATTCTTTGCCATCACTGCAGCAGATGCCAAACACATTTGCAGTAATTGGATGGCACTTAAGGGATTAGCCAAGAGTGCCAAGACTCACCTCATCCAAACCACAGCTGCCTTTTTGTGAGGTTTCCATGGGAGCCTGGCCATGGCTGCTGCTGCTAAATTTATTTGCAATCTACATTTTGCATAAAGTGCCCTGTGCAGGAGCCTGCCTGACTTTGTGGCACGGTTGTGGCATCTCCCTGAGGGACAGAAAATTGGCAAAATTTTCAGAAAATTGGCAAACTCTGGCCTCCTTCAGGGTGAGGAGCCACCTGTCCCCAGGCAGGTGAAGGAGCTGGCAGCACTTTGGGGCCAGCTGTGGTGGGAGAGCAGCTGCTGCAGATGTCCCAGAGCAGCCTTGGAGCTGCCAGCACGGTTCATGACCTCTCCTTCTGCCTCATGCGAAGGTGGCAGAGGGTTTGCAGAGCCACAATTTCCTGCTTTCATCTCTGTGGGCCCCCTCGCTTATCCAGCTTTGCATTTCTTTGCAGTTTGTGCCTCCCACGGGAGGACGGGACGCGTTTGTGATGCTGCTTCAGTCGGGGGTGGCACCAGCTGCTGATGGCTTGGTCACACAGCAGGAGCAGCCCCAAAGCTTGGGTTTCCCTGGGTGTGCTCAGGAGCTGCCAGGTTTGTGGGCAGAGCTGGGGAATGCAGTGACCTGGGTGTCTGCAGGAGAAAGGGAGCTCAGCTCAGCAGCAGAAAGCCATCAGTCCTCCTTCATTATAAAGCACAGGGCACTGGCATTGATGCCTCAGGTTTGATATTTTATATTTTATATTTTATATTTTATATTTTATATTTTATATTTTATATTTTTCAGATTCTGTGCTGCTTTAGTGTGTAGTTCTGGGTTCATATTAGGGAATGCTCTAGCTGGGGACCAAGGACAAATGATCCAAATCTCAAGCCCAAGAGCACAAACAACGTGGGCTGAAGAGAGAAAAACAAGCAGGATGGGACTGCAGAACCTCAAGCTGGAATTGGACCATGAACTGCAATGTGCAAATGGAGCAGAACTTAATAAAAATTAGAGACCCCATGACCTTGTATCCATTTTGGTTCATCTTGGGTTCATTTTGTGACCATTTTGGTTCATCTTGGGTGCAGCCCTGGCTGGGCTCTTGTGCTGCCCAAGGTGCATCCATTGAGCAGATCCTTTCAATAAATCTCTATTTTATTCTTTAGCTCTGTCCAGCCTCTGTTCTAGGCCAGCCTTCACAAGTCATCAGGGTAAGGGCATCAGAGAGGAGCCATGCAGAGCTTTGCTGGGCTCCAGGGCCTGCTGGGGCAGCTTTGCTTGCAGGGTAATTGAATTGTGGCTCTAAAGAGACATTTCCTGAGCTCATTCCAGCAGGCTGAAGAGCTGAGTGAGGCTGCAGTGCCACAGACAGGTTGCTTTGGCTCCCCCAGCCCCAGCCTGGCTGAGCTGGAGCCAGTTGGTCTGTGCAGCACAGCTGGGACACATCAGCCTCCTGCTGGGCTTGGCCCACCTGGTTCCAGCACCAGGGTCAGGCCCAGAGCACACCTGAGGGGAGCCCAGGGGCCAGGCTGACCCTTTTTCCTCTGGGGCTCAGGTCTGAGCAGCTCCTGTGTTTTCCTGTGGCTGCAAGGAGTTCCCAGCTGGGAAACCAGGGTGGGGACACATCCCAGCCTCCCAGGCTGTGTCTGTGAGGAAGGTGAAGGAAGGGGATGAAGGGTTCTGCTCAGGGCTTGCAGCAAGGTCAGAGCTGGCAGAGGTATCAAGCCAGCACTAATTTCGTGTCTTTGTGTTACCAAAGAAGTAAATGCTGTTCTGTTGGGTGTATTCAAGAGCAGGGTTTCACCTTTAAATCAGTGGTTAATGTGAATACACTTTTTATTAAACCCCTTCAGCTCTCAGGGTTTGATTCAACACTCTTTTATTTCCCAGTGATGCTTTTATTGTCCGACCTTAGGAGGTGAATTCACTGCAACACAGCACAGCTCTCCTTGCACTCAGTCTCTCAGCAGTGTTTTATGTGCACTTTTATTAATTTCTCTTACCTGATTCAGTGCCAGCTCCCTCACAGAGCAGGGCACGATGGCTTGGTTTCATTAGGTGTGCACTATTTTTCCTTCTCCTCTGATGCTCTTCCTCAAGCACTTTTTCTCCTTGGGTTGGGGGAGAGCAGTGGGTAAATGTTCCAGCTAATAGTAACAACATTCCTGCACCCTGCATGGGAGATTCAGCACTTGGGGAGGAACATGGAACACATTCAAAGGCTGGAAATGGAGAATCTGTTCTGCAATGTCAGCACTCTCCCTTTTCCCTTCTCTTCCTACAGACAGCTCTGTGGACTGGGGCAGAAACTCTCCCCACAATTCCATTTCCATTAGGGCTGGGTGTGCAGCTGTGTTGCTCAGGGGGTTAAAGAGTGGCTGATTGATTGACCCAGCCAAGGATTATAAGAGAAGATGAACAGAGCATTTTTCTCCATGGGCTCCATGCATTTCATTTCTTTGTTCTTGCCTCCAAACCCCTCACCTTCAGAGAGCAGCTCCTGCCTGTTATTGCTGCTTTCTGTGGCCATGAGCTGAGGTTTGAAGCAACTTCCTCTCCCAACTTTGATTCTCCACCTTGTTTTTCTGCAGATATTTGCTTACAAGAGTGACAAGAACTAAATGACTAATGTAGAGAGCTGACCTCTGCCTGTTCTCTGATCATTTCCTTGCCAAATCCCCTCTTTCCTTCCTCCCTGTCTCTGCTATTTCAGGCTCTGCTCTGGCTCCTGTTTCTGACAGAAGATGGATCTGCACCACTCAAACATTTGCTGCAGGAGCTTTTCAGTGCTGGAGAAGCATCTCAGCATTTCTGAGTCAGGGTGGGGATCAGTGGGTGCCTGGAGGGAGCATTTGGCACTGGGAGTGACCAGGATGAGTGCCCAAAAACCCAAAATCAGCCCTGGTGAATCACAATGTCCTGGCCAGGGCTGTCTGCCACTGCCTGCAAAGCACAGGCTCTGTTTGGGTGTAATTTCAAGATATTATTGGGCTGATCTTGAAATCTTTCCAGCGTCAGATGTGACCTTGCAGCGTTTCAAATGTCCCTGGGTCAGGGCAGAGGTTGAAAGTTTGATTTTCACAGTCCCTGCAGTTGGCATTAGAGGCTGAGATCAGCTCTGGGGCAGCTGAGCAGTGGCAGGTGGAGGAGGAGATGAGGAGCAGCCTGGGCAGGCAGGGATGTGCATCCTGTGAGAATTTGTGAGTTATGAGGAGGCAATCACTGTCAGCAGGGTGAGGAATCAAATACAGGTGAGACATGGCAGGAATTGAAGGGGGGGAAAAAAGAGAAGAAGTTTCAGGTGTGGAGGAGAAATCCTCCCTGGGAGAATTCCCAGGCTGAGCAAACAGCCCTCGTGGGAATGGAGGTTTTTGGGTTTTTCGGGTTTTTCGGGGTTTTTTGGTTTTTTTTTTTCATGGGAAATTCAAGATGTGGAACTCAAAAAGGGAAATACCTTGCATAGAAGATTCAGCCTCTGTCCCTTGAGAAGAACTGAGAGGTTCTACATTATTTGCACATTTAACTGGTGACAATTAGACTTCTTTGGGTTATTTAGTCCCTTGCTATGAACAAAACTGCTTTTGTTTGAACATCCACAAATTCTTTGACAAACCCAGCAGTGGACTTGATTTCCAGGCAAGGGAAAAAAAACCCCAAACCCAAGGTTGTGAAAACCAGGTGATAAAAACAACCCCCAAGAGCGTGCCACAAAGTCCCAGCTAAATTGTTTTTGCAGCTCAGTGCAAGTTAAACTTCTGCAGCAACAGCATTGTCAGCAAAAATGGAGCTTGTGCTGAGCAGTGTTCTGGGGCACATTTGGTATAAATGGAAACCTTTTATTCCAAAACAGCTATTCTACCTGTGCCTCTGCTGATGCCTCCAAAACCACAAGAAAATGTCAGTTTTGCATTCTAATTTTATTTTCATCTCAGTGATCAGATGTGGTTTACACCTTCAGGCCTCGCCTTGAGCAGAACATTTCTCACTCTAGGGATTTTTTTTTTTTCACCTGTCTCAGATTAATTGACCTGGAAAATAACTACAAAGGCTCAGGGCAGCCACCAGGTTTCAAGGAGGCCACAGGCAGGTTTGTGTTCTAGTTTGCAGAGAACAGAGAGAGAGAAGAGAAAGGTTTCTTTCCCTTTGCAGAGGAAAAGGGGAGAAAAGTTTCTTTCCCTTTGCAGGGAGAAGGTTTCTGGTGAAAAGTTTCTTTCCCTTTGCATGGAGGAAGTTTCTGGAGAAAGGTTTCTTTTCCCTTTGCAGAGGAACTCCAGGGATGGCTCTGGGATGAGGGATAAAATGAGTTCTTCATTCCTTATGATGCTGGTTGTGATTCTCTTGTGATTTGGAGCAACTTCATTAAAAACCAGAACCATCTGCTTAAATTTGATATGGAATTTAAGGAGGATGAAGGATAACAATTTCATATAGCCTGAGATCTTCTTAAGAATGATTTTCCCAAGGAAGCGATTTGTGCAGTTTCTTCATTTTTCTGCCTAATAGAAATAAAAGGAGATACAGGAGCACAGTAATTGTTATTGGCAAACAGAGGTCAATTACAGGAAATTCTATTTCTTGAAATTAGTTTAGCAGTGACTGGCTCCCTGTGCAATTCATTCTGCAGAGAGCTGAGCAGCAGAGGCAGCTGCTGTGTCACTGCCCCCGGCCTGGGGCTGCTCCTCATGGCCCGGGGTGGAACTGGGGCAGCTCAGAAGCCTCATGGAACTGAGATCTGGAGCTTTTCCTGCATGGAGGGACATCTGGGGCAGACAGGCTTGCCTGGGAGCCTCTTGCCCGCATTTTTTCCTGACACCAGCCCAGGCTGCTCGCCCTCTGTGCTTGTTTCCTCATGTCCAGTCCTTGGAAAGCATTGGTTTATCCTTAGGCACGTGCAGAATTTATTCATGAGTTATTCAGTTTGGGTTTTGGTGGGAAGGAGTGGGAACCAGGCAGGTTCTCAAGGACTCTGGCTCTCATTGCTCATGCAAACGTTCCAGAAATCAAAAATTTATCCCAATGTGTTGTCATGCTGTAAAGGCTGGAGAAAGGCTTCAATCACTGAGAAACGGTGAGAGGCTGTCCCCGTGTCCCCTGGATGCTGCAGCTGAGCTCTGGTGGCAGTGACAGGACCCAGGGAAGGGCTGCAGCTGGGTCAGGGGGGACATCAGGAAAATGCTGAGCCCCCTCTGCTCTGCCAGGCTCCCAGGGAACGGGCACAGCCTGCCAGAGCTCCAGGAGCGTTTGGAAACACTGGGTGGGATTTTTGGGGGGCCTATGCAGGGCTGAGGGTTGGACTGGGTGGTTCCTGTGGGTCCCTTCCAGCCCAGCCCACTCTGTGCCTGTGGGAGCATTGTGACACAGGCTTTGCGCTGCAACGTATTCAATTCCAAACATTTCCTGCGGGGCAGAGAACGAAACCTGGAGGGGGACAGGGGCTATCCCCAGGGATGAATCAGCTGGAAAGCAGCTCAGGAAGGATGTGACAGTGCAGCTGCTGGCTCCTGACCGAGCTGCTGCCGAAGGAGGAGGAGGAGGAGGAGGAGGAGGAGAGCGGGGCTGCTGTCTCAGGTTTCCATGCACTGCACGTGTGGGTGGTGCGAGCTGTGCCTGCTCCAGCCACCGAGCGAGCTGGGAGCATGGGGCAGGTGGCTTGGAAGGCTTTATTTCTGTCTCTTTTCGATTATAAAACGGAGAAATACGTCATTGCCAAGAACAAGAAGGTTGGGGTCCTCTACCGAGTGGTGCAGCTCTCCATCCTGGCTTACCTGGTGGGGTAAGGATCACACTCTGCTTCACGTTTTGCTGTGATAACGGTGGATTTTGCGGTGATAAGGATGGGTTTTGCTGTGATAAAGACGGGTTTTGCTGTGATAAAGATAAATTAGGGCACTCTGCACACAGTGACAGCCTGCTGTGCCTCCTGATTTCAATGCAGTTCGTCAGACAGGTTTATACAGCTGCATTTTGTAGTGTCTGATAGGTTATGTCTGATTTTTCACCTGCTAGGGGTGGCTACATTCAGCTCTACCCTTCAGATTAAGGTTGGGTTAAAAATAGACCCAGTGTCTACGGCTTTGTACTGCATTATTTATGCCTTTGTTTCTATATTTTGTGGGAATGGTGCCAAACCCTTCTGTGTGACTCCTCAGGACAAATGAGCATTATCAGCCCTGGTGCTGAGCCTTGGGGCACTCCTGTGTTCTCTGCACAGCACCACGACCTGCTCAGGTGCAGATGGGAGGGAAAGGCAGAAAATGGGGGATGTCTGAGCTGGAGTGGGCTGCAGCAGCCAGGCTGTGGGGGCTGAGGCAGCAGCAGTGTCAGCTGCTTTGCATTCATTTCAGAGCAGGGCATTGGCTCAGGAACAGCCTGGGAAAGGCCCAGTTCTGCAGCACACTGGGCACGCTGGTGTGTGACCAGCCCCTGCAGGCTCAGACCTGGAATTATCCAGCCTGTGCTGTTGATTCTTGAGTTTCTGAGGGCTTTTTAGGTTGTGACACCTAACTGTCCCCTCACTGTCTGTGCTCCTGGTCCCTTCACCTTTCCCACACCTCGTGTTTCCACTGATTAAATATAGCAGAGTCATTTTTAGGTGCTGGGTGTATTTATAGAAAGCTGTGCAGTCCCAGTGAGCACAGCAGCTCCTCAGCACTCTGGCATGGTCTGGCTGGAGGAGGAATCCTGTGCAGAGCATGGCTGAGGGAGATACAGCATGGACAGGGCAGGGTTCTTTTCCTCCTCTGGTATCTGTGGCCTCCTGCAAACCCCTGGCATTGTCACAGTGACCCCTCAGTGCTTAGGGCTTGCAGGAACATGTCCCTGTTCACAGGCTGGCTTTGGGTGGGGATCATCAAACCCTTCTGGACTATTTCTGGGATGCAGCTGCCATTGATTCATTGATTCACTGCAGAAAATGCAAGGATCTGCTTTTGAGCCTTCCTGGGAGAGGAAATCAGTGCTCTTGGGAAAAGGGGGGAGTAGGAAACTTCCCAGGGTGGGTGTAAAAAACAAGGTTCACTCTCCTGTAGAAGTGTAAAAGTTTAATAACCGACATCAGGAGCTAATAAAGCAATTGGTTTAACGGTCAGGTACCTCTTGGCATTCCACCAAGAGCACCTTGGCCATTCCAGAAACAACCTTTATGTGCCATTCCTATGGCATCAGCCTGTTGCATGTTAATAAACACTTAGGCATATTGAGACTTCCCCCCCAAACCAGTTAACATGTTCCAAGAATTGTTTGGCAGGGCTCATCCTCAGGGCTGCCTTTTCAGAGCATCTGTATTCCTTGGTTGTGGTTTTATCATTCTTATCATCACCTCCAGTTTGGGCCTTGGTCCATATTTTCTGTCGATGGTAAGTGCTGACAGTTGCCATATCAATAGCAGGGATCTTCTTGTGTTCACTGAATGTTATCCCAACCAGGCAGGCAGTTTAACACAAAAATACTTCTATCAGCTATTTGACTAACAGAAATATAAACTATATCTTTATAGCAAAGTTACTTTGACATTATACATTTAGCATCCATTTCAATATTTGTGAAAAGCCAATATTATAATATGTATTTATGACAGTGGGGAGTGTTCATGTGCAGGTTTGTCCCACGTGGCAGGTGAAGGGCTGGGTGCCACCAGTGCTGCTCAGCCCCTGTGGGCAGGAGAGCCCTGAAAAGAGGAGCTGTGCCACAGATTCAGCCCCTCTCCCTCTCCCAACGTGCCCCCAGCACCCTCAGCTTCTTCAAGGGTGATTTATTGTCCTGACAGGTGATTTTAGCAGTATTGTGGGGGAGCTGGAAGTGTTTCATTTGAGCCAGAGGTTTTCACCCAGGGAAATGGAACTCCCGCTGCTTCCAGTGGAGGGGAGGAAGCAAAGCCTTTCCCTGGATGGCTTAGCAAGGCAGCAGCTCTCCCAGGGCTGTTCCCACCACCCTGGCTGGCAAAGGAGCTGGATCCAGCTGGGATCATCCCCTGCAGGTTCCTGCCAGGCATCCCCAGCTCAGCTGCAGGGGTTCCCTGTCCCAGCCTGGTGTGTTGCTGGCTGGCAGCTCAGGGTCTGTGTGCTGAAGTGAGAGTTCTGCACTTGTGAACCTGCAAAAGCCTCTCTTGTTTTTCATCTCGAGAAAGGCACAGTCCTGCTCTTCTTTTTCCTTTCTGAGGTTGCTGAGTGTAGCACAGATGGAGGCTTTGGTTTCTTACCTCATGACCTGTTGTTACACATTCCTCCACTGTTGGCAAGCACAGCTCGTGTCCAGGAGTTTATCCTTTATTAGCAGAAGCAGGGGGAGCAGAGGGTTTGGTGTCATTTGCACGTTTTGATTTGACCTCGGTGTGAATTTCTCTGTCTGACTCATTCCCTGACTGCCCCTAACGCTGCTGTGTTCACACAGGTGGGTGTTTGTGGTCAAGAAAGGCTACCAGGACACAGACACGTCCCTCCAGAGCTCTGTCATCACCAAGCTGAAAGGGGTGGCCTTCACCAACACCTCGGAGCTGGGGGAGAGGATTTGGGATGTTGCAGACTATGTCATCCCTCCCCAGGTTGGCATCACCCCCTGTGGGTGCTGAAGGGATCTATCCCGGTCTTCCCTGTGAACTGGCAGGAGCTGGGATACAAGAAAGTGATGCTGGAAGGGGTTTTCTGCTGTGAGTTTTTTATTGGAGATGCTGGGGGTGCTCTGCCTCCCCCCAGGACCATGGGCTGGCTCTCATGGTTGTGTGTGCACCCACAGTGTGAGGGAATTCATCCAAACAAATATCCACACAAAGGGTGGTGCTGTATCTCAGCCTGAGAAGCCGTGGGGAGAGGGGGTTCCTCTCTTCTGAAGAGAGCTTCATGCTCCTTATTTACAAGTACTTTTAGAGTAAACCAAGTTATCTGACTCTTTGTTTATTGCAGGGCGAAAGTGTCTTCTTTGTCATGACAAATCTGATTGTGACCCCAAACCAGAGACAAGCCACGTGTGCTGAGGTAGGAAGAACTGAGCCCCTTGACCCCCAGACCCCTGCAAAACCAGGGAAAGGAACTGATAGAGGACACTTCTGGAGCCACAAAGAGAGGAAGGATGAAAGACAAGTATTTTTTCCTATAGTGTAAAAGCTAATTTGGGAAATTACTGTAAACCTGGAAGGCTCAGCTATTTTAACTTCCAGAGGCATTGATCACGCAGAGACTGCCTGACTTTAGGTGGAGTTGAATTTCTGCCCAGCTGGAGATGAGACCAGGCAGTGATTGCTCAGGGTTAGAAAAGGCCCTGGGAAAACAAATTTGATGTGACTCAAGGTAGTTATGGGGAGAAGAGACTTTTTAAGAGCCCCATCCTGGAAAGTGCTGAACATTCAGGTTTTCATTACCTCCCAGACATGGGGTGGCTGCTCAGCACCTTCCAGAACATTCCCTGAAGGCCAAAGGCGTGAGGTGCTTGTGGAATATCCTCTGAGGGGATGTTTAGAGTGGGCTGGAGCCCGGGGAGGAGGTGTGTGGCTGTGCAGGGAGTGCTGTGCATGGAGCAGATGGATTTTTGTCCATGGAGCAGAAGGATTTTCCATGTCACATCAGGAGCACAGCTGGCTTGGTCAGGGCACTGCTGTCCTCTGGTGGCCAGGACAGGGGCACTTTTGAGCCAGAGAACTTTGTGGCTTAGATCCAAGGTAGGGTTATCTCACAGCAAAGAGGCCTCCTGCCTGGTTTTGGTGAGTACTAATGTTGGTTTTTCCAGTCTGCCCCTCTCCAGACTGAGCAGAACCCAAAATCGGGGGTGGCTGAATGCTGGTGCTCCTGCTGGTGGGATATGTGTACATGACCCCCAGTTCCCACTTCAGCTGTGTGGTTTTAGTGCTCACACAGAACCCACCCCACTTTCTGTGTCTCTGGTGTGCTGTCACACTGTCACCTGTGTCCTTTCCCCTCTGCAGAGTGCCAGCATTCCCGATGCCCTGTGTGACAAGGACACAGACTGCCTGGAAGGGGAAGCAGTGGTGGCTGGCAATGGTAAGGGACATGTCCCTGTCTGAGCTGTGTCTGGTGTCCTTCAGAGCCCTCAGCCTGGGTACAGCCCCCAGATCTCTGATTGCAGAGAGCACCAAGGCCTCTCCTTTTCCCCCCCTCTCCTTTTCCCCCCCTCTCCTTTTCCCCCCCTTTCCTTTTCCCCCCCTCTCCTTTCCCCCCTCTTTTATTGAGATCCCTGCCTTGCTCACAGCTCTGTGGTGGCTGGGCCAGGGAACCCCAGGCTGCTCAGAGGCTCAACAAGAGGGCGTTTGTTCCAGCTGAGAGGCCCTTTCACAGCAGGGAGGAGAGGGAAAATCCTCTATTCTCACATGCCCTGTAGGCAAGGAGAGGAGGTGCCTGCTGCTGTGACCTTTTCTGTGCTGTCTGCTCACAGGGGTTAAGACTGGCCGTTGTTTGAAAGACAGGGGCAGCACCAGAGGGACTTGTGAGATACTGGCCTGGTGCCCAGTGGAGAAAAGATCCAAGCCCAAGTACGTGTCTGCTTTCCAAGCTTGAGTTGCTTGGCTTGTGTGTCACCCAGGGCAGATCCCGTGTCCCCTCTGCTTGGGTGCTTGCTGGAATGTTGGCTGCTCAGTCAGGGCTGTTCAGGGGCTCTGCAAGGCTCCCCCTGGCAGGACTGGCCCTCTGCTCCCCCTGCTTCTCTCCCTGGCTGCTCCCAGCCCTGGCGGTGTCCCCTGGACCTGCATGCTCCTCACCAGCCCCTTGCTGGCACTGTGGGGGAATGGCACAGCTGGCCTGGTGCCATCCAACCTACTGGATAAAGCTGCTTCTAAAATGGCAGTTCAAGATTTCACATGTGGGCAGGGGACAAAGACAGAGAACAAACCCTTCTCTTGCAGGAAACCACTTCTGGGCAGTGCAGAAAACTTCACTGTTTACATCAAGAACTCCATTCGCTTCCCCAAGTTTAAGTTCTCCAAGTAAGTGCCACAGCCTCCTGAGCTTCTCCTGCTCAATAGATATTCCCCCTCCTCCAGAAAAATAAAGTGCCTGGATAAGGCTGGCAAAAAAAAAGCAAATTTAAAAAATATTTGTTTGCCTTTGCTGCTGCCATGTGAACAAACTGAAGCAGTGTAGAAATGTGCATGTTCTGGCTCTTGTCCTGGGGCTCAGATAAGCATTTCCAGAATCCTATTGTTTTCCCTTGAGAAAAATAGATCACCCTGGAGCAGTCTGGCAATCTGTTCTGTGTGAGTCCTTTCTTGAGCCCAGATTCATCTGGCCAGGAGATCATTTTTGGGGGCACAGACTGCTTTCCCAGGCCAGCAGCAGAGACACCCTCGGGGTGCACAGAGGCTGTTGGAGAAGCCTCTTGTCTCTGCAGTCCAGCTGCAGGATCTGAAGGCAAGGAAAGAGGGAGCCAAGGTGTATTTCCCTGTTTCCTACGTGCAGGATGAATGTGCTGGCCACTGACAACGAGTCCTACCTGAAGAGCTGTCGGTACAGCCAGGAGCATCCCTACTGCCCCATCTTCGTGCTGGGCAACATCGTCCGCTGGGCTGGGGGCGACTTCCAGGAAATGGCCTCGCAGGTAGGAGTGGCCCGGGGCTCGTGGGTGCTCCCAGCTGGATCACTGGGAGCCTGTGAGGAGTCACTGCCCTGCGAGCTGCCTCCTGCACTGCCCTGCACTGCACTGCAGAGGTGCCAGTGCTTAAAGTCAAGCTGGTCCCATTTATCCTGTCCCCAGGGAATGGGAGTTCTCTCAAAACAGCTGGTTGTGTCACTTATCTTCTATTCAGGGCTGCCCAAACTGCTGCTCTGCCAGCAGGGATTTTTTGTTTAATTTCAACATTACTACAGCTGGTTAAAACCCAGTACTCTGGAAATCCACCCCTGCATAAAAGATCATCTTCCTCACTGAAGTGTGGGATGAAATCAATGTCCCAGATGAGAAACCTCAGGGAGAAGTGGGGTTGTAGAGTAATAATGGCATTAATGTCACACGCCTGAACTGAGCCCAGGCAGGAGTGTGTGCCCCCTTGTCTGTGACCAGAAGTGCAGCTGCTTCTTGCCCCTGGGGAAAACCTGCCCAAGGGTCTGACAAATTTGAAGACACTTCAACTGAACTAAGCTTAAACAACTCACCCTGTCTCTCTCTTTTAAGGGTGGTGTGATAGGAATTCAGATTGAATGGAACTGTGATCTTGATAAAGCCCCTTCTGAATGTAATCCTCACTATTCTTTTAGCCGGCTGGATAACAAGTCTGCAGAAACCTCCATCTCTTCTGGGTACAACTTCAGGTGGGTACAGAGGGGGGCACAATGCAGAACCACAGCTGGGCTGGGCTGCCTGGGCTTGCAGGTGCTGGAGGTTGGCAGTGGAGTGGCACCAGCCTGTGCCAGGCACTGCTGCAGCCAAGCACAGAGCGCTGCAGAGGAGGGAGGGAGGTAGGGAGTGCTCCTGGCAGGCTAAAGCTGGCTTTGATAAGGGAACAGATCTCTTTGAAGGGATGAGAGACTTCAGAGGGGCAGGTGGAATTAAATCCAGAATTGTTGTATTCCAGGTTTGCCAAGTATTACCGGGATGCTGAGGGGGTCGACTACCGGACGCTCATTAAAGCCTACGGAATCCGCTTCGATGTGATGGTGAACGGCAAGGTGAGGGCCAGGCCAGCATGTGCCAGAGCCTGCAGAGGAAGGAAGTGGGGGGAGGCAGCTCTGAGGTGAGGACAGCTTCTCTGGCTTGTTGTAGGAAAGGGCTTTTCCCATCCATCCATGTGGAGCTAATCCCCATGTAAGAGAGATCACCTGCAGTGCAGCTGAGCCTGCACCTCCTCTACTTAAAACCAGGCTCATGTAAAGCCCAACAGAAACAAATGTGCCCCAGAGACTTGTTTTCCACGTGCAAGCACTGCAGAGAGAAAAGAAGCCTAATCCAGGCATGATGCAAGCTCAGAAATGCAGCCAGGGACAGTCAGACCTAAGACACACAACCTTCAGCCTCCAAGATTGCTCAGTGCAAATCCCCCGTGGTTGTGCCTGGGAACAAAACACACCCAGGGGCAGCAGCAGCTTCCCCAGGGCAGTACCACACCCTTGGGTTTGTTTTGTGGGTTGTTCTCTCAGTGGTGACTTCATGACCTTTGTTCTTCCAGGCAGGGAAATTTAACATCATTCCCACCATCATCAATATCAGCTCGGGGCTGGCACTCATGGGAGCTGTAAGTGAATGTTTTGTGTTAAAGTAACCCCAGGGGACCCAGACCCAAAATGGGATGAGAATGGGACTGGGGGCTTAAACCTTTTCCAGCAGAATCTTTACTACTCAGACTACTCAGCCAGGTGTGTGTCTGTATCCTGTCTTAAAAGCATTTGTTAATAAACCTGCTAGTCTAAACATCCACACAGGCTGTATATTGTATATACATACCCTGGAAAATGCATGGAGAATGAAGGCAAACACAGTTTCTACAAGTTATCCTTTCATTAATGTTCATTTCTAATGAAATCAGAATACTTCCTTTTCTGTTTCAAAGGTAAAACACAAGTTTTATCCCTTTGCAGGGAGCTTTCTTTTGTGACCTGGTGCTGCTGTATCTGATCAAGAAGAGTAACTTTTATCGAGGCAAAAAGTATGAGGAAGTAAAGTAAGTGGGCCTGGCTTTGTGTTAAAAAAATCATGGCTTTTTGTTAAGTGATAGAAATAGGAGGAGATACAGAAGCACAGTTCCAGGGAAATATATTCTTCCAAATTATTTTGGCCAAGTTATTGGCTTCCTCTGTAATTCCTTGCTGCAGTGAGCTGGGGAGCACAGGCAGCTGCTGTGTCATGGTTGGACTGGCAATGGCCTCGTGCTGTTGGTCCCTAATGACCGAGGGTGGAATTGGGGCAGCTCCAAGAGCCTCGTGAAACTGAGATGTGGAGGGGCCTTTGGGTAAGGTGAGACAGGCCTGGCTGGGAAGATTTTTGCCTCCTGAAACAATCCCAGGCTGCTCATGCTGTCCCTGTGCCTGTTTCCCCAGGTCCAACTCCAGGAAGTCCTTGTCCAGCCCTACGCTGAATGGGAATCAGAGCCCGGAGCAGCTCGATGGGCTCTAGGCACAGCAGAGGCTCTGCCAGCTCCAGGAAACCCACACAGGTGTGGCACCACACCAGCACTGGGAGGTGGACATACCCCAGATCAGGCCTGCTATGATCAGGATTCCCAGAGGAAAAAGCCTTCTTTAAAGACTGCCTTTCTTCCCTGAGATTTCTCTGGGATCCTGAGCTTGCAACATGTGTCGTCACTATGGATTTATAAAAGGATTTTTATAAAAGGACAAAGAAGGCACCAAATGAATGTTTTTATATCCACTGATAAATATATCTGTACTTATACCAATAGCCAGCACTGTCCTGTGGCTGTGCTTTGCTTCCATGTGGAGAAAAGCTGTGATGGGAGCACTTTGGGAAGGGCTGAAGCTGAAACCCAACCTGTTTCCTGCTCTGCTGCAGTGGCAGCCACCACCTCCAGCTCCTGCCTGGGTGATGATGTGACATCAGGTGTGAAGCAGCAGGACTGCTCTGCTCAGGAAATGCAGGGAAATGTGGCACTGGAGCAGCTGCTGGGGCTGGGGAAGGGGCTGTGATGCTGCAGGGCCTGAGGCAGGGGGACAGTCACTCTTGTGGGGGTGAAGGCACTGAGCAGCAGCGTGGAGCACCTGCACAGCTTCTGCCTCCAGTGCCTGCTGTCATTTGCTGGGGACTGTCCTCGCTGCACCACTGCCCCATTTCTCATGCTGGGCAGGTCTGGATGGGCACTCAGTGCCTCTGTTTCTCACAGCACCCCGGGCTGTGCTGCAGACTGAGAGGGGCAGCTCTGCCAGGGCCACAGGCTGGGCCAGCCTCCTCCAAATACAGCAACAGCAGGGAAAGTTAGGACATAGCTGCCTGCTACTTCAACACCAGGGACCTCCAGGAAACACAAGTGCTTGTCTCCCAGCAGAATCAGTCTCCCTGCAGCCCATTTTGTCCATTTATCTCATGTGAGGATGTAACCAATCTCAGAAAAGGGCTTAAGGAATATCAGAATATCCTTGTGTTCTGTATATGCTGCCCCATCACCACTGACTGGGAGCTGTCCTGATGAAGATTAAATGTTTCTGTGCATGCTTTGAATACCAAAAGTTAAAGGGCTCCTGCTGGAGCATCTGAGGGTGGCATCAGGGAGCTGCTGCCATCGAGTGTCTGCACAAATGGCACCAGCAGCTGCACCCACCTCTGCTTCAGCTTCTTTAAGGTACAGGTACTCTGAGGTACAGGTTCATCCTGAATTAATTAAAATTCACCTCTGTTAGCATTGGCAAACTCTGAACCCAGTCACTGACAGCAAACCCCACCCAGTCTAGTTCCCCCCCCTCTGCTTCTGTGTAGTGAGCCAAAAATGGGGCTAGAAAATAGAATTAAACACTGGAGTTCATTTAGGATAAGTCGTGTACCTTTGGTGCTCTGATCTCATCCAAAACCTTCTCTCTGTCAGGAGAGTCAGGAGTCTCTCCTCAAGGCAAACACAAGTCACTCCACTCTTGTGCAGTGGAGAACTGCACAAGAGCTCCCATCAGGCTTTTGACTGTCAGGGTTTAACTGGAGTTGAGTAATTTCTAGATGGTGAAACACAGAGTGAAGCCCCTGTGTGACATCAGGGCCTGGCACAACTGCTGGCAAGCAAGCAGCTCCTCCTGACATGCAAAGCTGACTGTACTCTGCTGAAACCATTGTTTTAACTTGCCAAAACATCCTCCTGTGAGAGGACCAAAGCTATTTCCTGAATCTGAGTCTCCAGGCCTCCCAGATCCCCTAGAATGTTTCCTTTCTTTAGACTGTGTAACACAACTCCTACAACCCCTGCTGTTAATAAAACATAACCAGATTCCTTCTCAGGAGCTCCTTTCTTGACTTTGACTCTTTTTTTTCTCCTTGTATTTCATGTTCAGCAATAAAATGTGTCACTTTAGGCCAGTGCTCCCTGGGAGTGTTCTGTAAGTGTTTTTTCAGATCAAACCACCTGCTGTGGTGATAGTGATGTGAGCAAATCAATGAATCACTTATTTTTGCAGGAACAGGGCTACAGGAAAGCCACTACCTGGATGGTAGGTGATGGATTTATCCCCTTTTGTGGCTTTTTTGGAGACCAGTGACAAGCACCTGTGACAGTGCCATTTACTGATGGCAGTAAGGGAAGAGAACATTTGCGTGTATGTTTCTGTACCAAACCTTTACATCCACTTAATTATTTTCTTGTGTCAGTGGAATTATTTTAAAATAATTTGGTTATTTCAGAGTGCTGTGTTACTACTCCAATATTTGTGTGTAGGGACAGGCAGCACATCCAGAGGGGATTGTAACTGGTGTGTGTATCCAAACCACAAAGAATACAAGGGACTATATCAATCAAACCCCACAGCTGTGCCTGCTTTTAGGGACAGAAATTATCCTTTAAAAAGAAAACAAATACAGGAGGCATCCAAACGGTGCTTCACATTCAGTTTAATTAGAACAGTGCTACTGATTAATTCGTACTTGGACATAATTTACCAACAGCATTAACGACACGAGCCACGGACAACAGTGTGGAAAGTGAGCTGGCCTATGGTGTAGTGACTTTTGGCAACAGTCCTGCAGCTCCGGTAGCGGCGAACATTCCGTACATCAGTACACGTGAACCATTCCGTACAGGAAAGTCCAGAACAGGACGTAGGTGAAGAGCCCTCCCACGAGCCCCCCCGTGAACAGCGGCCTCCGCGACTTGAAGTACTTGTTCCACCGCCGCCCGGCCTTCAGCACCAGCAGCACGGACAGGAGGACGGAGGCCAGGAAGTAGAAGATGAAGCCGTGCAGGCCGGTGAGGCCGAGGATCCCGGCCGTGGCGCCCGACAGGGCGGACACCGAGGTGCGGCAATAGTCCAGGATGGCCGCGTTGCCCCGCACCGCCGCCTCGCTGATGAACTGCGGTCCCTCGCGCTTGGCCACCACGGCGGCCATGGCTCCGCGCCGGGCTCGGGCACCTCCTCGCTCGCACCGACACTGAGGTGAAGCAAACGCGCTGTACGAGCCCGCCCGACCTCCCTCAGGCCGCCGGGAGAGCCCCGCGGGCCCTCCCGCCCGTTCTCCCCTTCCTCCGTACCTCTCATCCACGGCGGCGCGCAGCCCCGCCGCTCCGTCAAACCTCGCAGCGCGCCGAGGGACCCCGCACAGCGCCCGTCACCGCGGGCCGCCCGCCGGGCCCGGCCCGCCCCGACCGCGCCGCCGCCACCGCCCGGCCGCCATCTTGGCCAGGGGGCCGACGGGACGCGGCCGCGCGGGCGGCGCGCCGTGGGCGGGGCGGCTCCGGATTGGCTGGTGGGGAGAGAGGGGCGGGGCCGGATTGGCTGGCGGGGACCGAGGGGCGGGGCCGGGTGAGGCGCTTTTGTTCGGACGGCGGCGGCGACGGGGCGGACATGGCGTTCGTACCGGGGCAGCCGGTGACCGCCGTGGTGGTGAGCGGGCACGGGAAGGGGCGGGCACGGCGTTCCTACAGGGCCAGCCGGTCACCGCTATTCGGGGATACCGTGCCGGGGGCCGCTGGCCGGGATGGAGAGGGGGATGCCGGTGGTGCGCGGGGGCCGCTGGCGGGGATGGAGCGGGGGATGCCGGTGGTGCCCGGGCGCTGTCAGCGGGCGGAGGTGCCGCCCCGGGGCAGCTCTGATTCGCGGGTGTGTGGAAGGCGCGGACGGGGACACGGGTGCCGGTACCGGTGCTGTCCGGCAGCGCCCTGCGGGCTGTCGGAGGGCGGAGGTGCCCGGGCAGCCCCGGTCCGCCGGCGAAGGGCGCGGCCGCTCGGTCCGCAGCGCCGCCGGCTCCGGTGGCCGCTGCCCGCTGTCAGATTCTCCATCTGCGATACCGGGTGGGAGAAGGGAGGGGAAACTCCGCCGGGCGGAGGGACCGACCCTCGACCGGGGCTGCTCGAGAGAAGAGGGAGCGAAGGCGGCGAGACGCGCGTTCTCCCGGTACCGGGACCGTGCGGCAGCCGAGCCCGGTCTCGGTGCGGATCCCCCGCTGAGGGCAGGATAAGCACCTGCGTGTCTGGGTGGGGTTTGGGAAGCAGAGCTTTCGAGTGAGATAATGGCTTTAATCAGCGCGCAGTGCGAGGGAGGGATTCTGTGCTTTCCCCCGGCTGTAACTGGGCTGTGCTTGCGTGGGTGCTCCCGCTGAGGACACGGATGTTTGGAATCCAGGGAGTTTGGAATTCAGCGGGGCAGTTCAAGGTCTGTGTGACAGGGCTGTGAGAGGAGGATCACTGAGTGGTTTGGGTTGGAAGGCACCCGTGAAGGTCATCACATCCACCCCGCTGCAATGAGCAGGAACATCTTCCATTAGATAGGGTGGAAGCACCTTTTGAGAGGTTTTTGTGTCAGTTAAGACCGTGGCTTTTCACCCTGGCTCAGGAATTGCAGCAGCTGGCATTTCTACAGTGCTGACATAATGCCCAAAGCTGCTCAGATGCCTTTGTGCATCGGGCAGTGAGGAACCTGCCCCGGGTTACAAAAGTTATCCTGAAAAAGAGCCATCCTAATAATAGGTTGTTATTTCTGCTGATAGGACTAGCAGGAACATAGGGCATGTGGATAATGAGCAAGATGAGGCTGGGCATGAGTGACTGCTGCTTATCAAGGCATGAGTCATGTTTACAGAGACCTGCTCTGGTTTTAGTGTTGTTCTTTCTATTTCTGGGCAGGCAGGATAGCTCTGAGTAATTGAGGGGCTGGGCTGTGTTGTGGGATCTCTGTGAAAAACAATCTAACTGGATCTGAAGTACCAGTGCCTGAAATGCACTTGAAATTTCTTCCACTCATCACAATGCTCAGCTATTTGATCTCTTTCTCTTTCCAGCAAAGAATTGAAATACATAAGCTTCGTCAAGGTGACAATTTGATTCTGGGATTCAGCATTGGGGGTGGCATTGATCAGGACCCTACTCAGAATCCTTTCTCTGAAGACAAGACTGACAAGGTCAGACAATCTTTTTCTGTAGCAATTCCCTCTCCCAAAGGCTGAGATACCCAAATCATCATCTGCTCTCTGCCACAGCTACTCTCTTGCCCCATCATCACTTGCAGCCTGAGTTATTCAAGTGACTTCTCCACCTTTTCTATTTTCCAGCATTGCACTGCCTGTTTTTAACTAAAATCTCATAATACACTACAGAGTTTTTTTTGTGCTGTCAGTCAAATGGCCCTTGAGTACTGAATCCTCCCACATTTAGTAAATGAACTCTCCATTTTTTCTCCAGGGTATCTATGTAACAAGGGTGACAGCAGGAGGCCCAGCAGAAGTTGCAGGACTCCAGACTGGAGATAAGATCATGCAGGTAAGCACCAAAATAAGACAGTACTGATGTAGTACCAGCTGCACAGTGCAGAGAAGCATCTGCTGGGGAAAATAATCTTCTGGGTACTTCCCAGGACAGTTTGTGGGGTTTATAAATAAACTGAGCTGTGGCACAACCATATCCAACATGTGGTTCTGACAGAACAGTTACAGGACACCTGTGAGCCCCTGCACCTGCCTTATTTTATGGGTTTTTTTCCAGGTGAATGGCTGGGATATGACAATGGTGACCCATGACCAGGCCAGGAAGAGGCTGACCAAAAGGAATGAGGAGGTGGTCAGGCTGCTGGTGACCAGGCAGTCCCTGCAGAAGGCTGTGCAGCAATCCATGATGTCCTAATCCATCATCCAGCTGGGGAGGGGGTGGGAGGGAGATCTAGAGACTGGTATCAAAGAAAGAAGCAACTATTAGACTGGAACAGGTTGTCTGGAAGGGAGTGCATGGTCCTACCTGTGGTAAACACTACTTTTTTTAATTTTAACTTCTTCTGGTGTAACTGGCAGTAGTAAAACAATACTCCCCTCAGCAGAATGCTCCTCTAAAGTCTGCCCTGCAGGTACATGGCAAGATTTCTGCAGTCATGGCTTTCAGGACAGGACAGACCCAAGTTATCTAAGAGCAACTGGAAAAGCCTTAACTTGGACAGGATTCTTCTGTAGCACAAAAGCCTCCTATTTTAGGAGGAAATGTGGTTTCTGCTATGGGCGACCAGAGGGTTTGCTGTGCCTAAGCTTTTAGAAGGGAGCTGTCCTGTCCCCCACACTGCTACCAAATTGAAATGCCAGAGTTAAGAGCTGCACAATGCTGTGGGGAGGAGCACTGTACTAATCCTTCACTATGTGCAAGATAGAGAGTGACTGAAGGGTTTGGGGCATTACAGTTTCCTGCAAAGGTTCCCTGGATAAAGCATCCTCTTCAGGCAAGGAACAACTGAGGAACACACAAGTGTTAGCTCAATGCCTGTGAAATACACTACAACTTCATGGACACTGCAGTTCAACCTCACTGCCAGGGTAAAACCTGAATTCTCCTTACTCCCAGTTTGTACCATCAGATGAATTGAGTTTAATTGAAAGGAATATGGAGCAGGAAACAAAACAATGTTCCTGAACTTACCAAAAATGCTGCTTGTCACTGTAGAGTTTTCAGTCCTTCATTCCACTCCTATCAGACTTGAAATGGGAGGGATTTTGGTTTGTCTTTTAGAAGACTTTGCTTAAATCAGTGATTTATTGGATGGAAGAGATGAATATGCCAGTAATTTTGCAGAAGTGCCTCTTGACCAAATTTAAACTTCTAGTAGGACACTAAAGTGGTTTAAATCAACATGCCACAGGACTGAAGATTCTTGCTGCAACACTAAGTCCATGATCTAGCATCCTGTGGTTTGTTAGCCAGTTAGCTTTACAGTTATCCAAAACCTGGAGTTTTTAATCCTCTTCAGTTGATCTAGACATATCTATAGTTTCCTTAAGCAGCCTTGGGGTAAAAGCTGTTGTAAATAGAGCACGAGGAGGTGGCAGACTAATTTATTCAGTACCTTACTGCTGTGCCATGTACCTTGTGATTGATGCATCTCAGACTGTTCTGTGCTCACCAGCAGATGCCTACTTAACAATTTTATATCTCTGGAATTACTACAATCCTGCTTTGGAATTTTGTTACTTAAGAATGCCGTAGTAAGTTATAAGTCTTTCAAGTTGGAGTTATTTTTGTTACTATAAAGATACACTGCTATTTGTACTGCTTTTTTTCACTTGATTTTACACAATAAAACAAAGTTGGTTTTCCTGAGCTGTTTCTCCTTACATTTACTAGTGCCACATCACTTGGGTGCCTCTAGCTGGGACCATTTTTGGCTCAAGGGTAGATTTTGGAATTACTGAGGTCAGTAAGATTTGGTTTCACTGGTGGGGAACTGTCCAACCTCACCTGGGATCTAGAAAGACACATTAGGTTCTAAGCATACAAGTATAAATACACAGATTCCCTTCTAATTACTTATCTTAGCACCTTTGAAAGAGCTTTCTGTGAAATAAGAATACAGCTTCTGTTTTTTTTAGGATTTTTTTTAATAAAGAGTTCAAATGGTAATATTTGTGCATTTGTTACAAACTCCATTATTGTGATGTACCACTGTGGCCAGCCTGAGTGGTGGTGGACTGTGAGCTGTCTGGGAAAGGCCAGCAGCAGCACTTGGATCCACAGACAGTCTTCAGTCATTACTTAAAGACATGAAGTGATTGCTTAAACATGATCTCAGATTTTTGGAAGACAGAACTCTGCTCTTTGTGCTTCACCTCCAATCAGAAAGATATCACTTTGGTCTTTCTCTTCCCTGTGGTTGGTGAAAAAAGAGCCATGTGCTGCTTGGACAGCTCCCTCTGAGCTGTGTGTGCAGCTCCAACAGGCACGAGTCCCCCATGTGCAGCTGAGAGCTTGCTGTCCTTAAGGCATCTGGCAGCCAGTGCTTGGCAAGGCAACAGCTTGAGTTCCAGCCCAGAGAGGATCAAGTCACAGGCAGAAATCAGAATCAGCATTTCTGGTAACTGGCAGCAAGAATCTTGAAAGCCCTCAGAGAGGGTAGGGCCAAGTTCAGTTTAAAGTTTGAGTCTCCACAAACGAGGCTTGTTATTCACAAGGTTCGTAGCCTCGTCTCCTGTACAGGCAGTAGTGCTGGGCCATGAAAACAATGTCAAAGATGATGGAGAAGACACCCAGGCCAAACTTGGTTGGATCTCCAAAGATTAACCTCCACTCATCTGTCAAACACAAAATTAGAGTTAAGTGTGACTTCTCAAGTGTAGTCTTAGGACCCTTTAGAGAAGTTCATGTCTATTACCTGGACTGCTCAGACACACCCAAGACTGACTGCAGTGCACATCTTATGCAAAGCTAATTAATAACTGTTCCTGTGGTTTCTTCAGGATGGCTACTTCATTTTATATCTTGAAGGAATATGAAAGATTCTTTAACCTTCCCATAAGAACAGCTCCCCACAACACAGCACAAACATCATTCTTCTGAGATAACCTGCTTTATATCTCCTTTGTAGTGGACTTCCCACCCCATTACAACAGGCTCCAGCACCTCAGTTCCAGGCTTACCATTGTTGTAAGACTGCAGAAACATCTGGAGAAGGCTGAAGCTTCCCCCAGTGAAGTCCAGTAACACATTTCCAATGCTCCATCCCTCAGTGCTCTTCCGGCGGAAATTCATGTAGGCCTGGGAGTGTGACAAGAAGTCAGTCAGAGTGTCCTGCACAGGATTTGGGGTTGACTTGCAGGCAGTTTTCAGTACAATTCTACTGGTTTGTCACTATTAATAAATAATCATTGGTGGTTTAGTCTCTTCAGACTTTCAAGAGGCTGAAGGTGGCAGGCTTAGGGTGGCAGGGATATGGAATGCAAGCAGAATAATTCAGATTTACCTGTGGGAAGTATTTGATCAGTGTGACTGCTAACTTAATGTAGGAGAAGCAGAACAAGAACTGCAGCCATGTCATCACCTCAGCTGCAGCCAGGAACAGCGTTGTGAAGGTGAAGATCCATGCAAGTGCCAGGAGTCCAACAACAACTTTGGATACTTTCTGACCTGCTCGCTGAAATAGAAACACAGGTACATTTTGGCCAGGTCACACATCCCCAGACACAAAGATACACTTTGCTCAGGACCCTGCAGCACTACACTCCAAACCTGTTTTACCAGTCAGGCTGGTACCACAAGGAGAACTTTAAAATTAAGCAAGTGCTACAGCAACCAGCTGGAGGTTTGCAAGAGCTGATGAGCAATATTCATATCAATAATTTAAAACACTGCTGTCCCTGAGCAAGGGGGAACAGTATTCTTGAGTATTTATGGTGCATAATCTGTAACAAAGCTCCAAAAATTCAATCTGATGAGATCAGGAGTTCCTGTATGTGCAAAAGGCTGATAATATCATTATGGTAAAAGATTTGTGGTTGCTTTCTAATTCTTCACTAGAAAATTCTGTAGTACCTGGCAATGATGACAGATGGGCTGTTACAGTTTTAGATTTAGCATGACCAGAGGAAGAACCCAAAGAGAGAAAAAGTTACCATCTAGAGAAAATTGGTCTGTTCAGATGGGAGGTTTTTACAATGAAAATCAAACAAAGAACCACCTGACTGGAACAATCAGTGGGATTAAGTAAGAATCACTTGACTGTAACAATCAGTTTCACTTGAAAAGGTGTGAATTATGAAAAGGCATTTTCAGCTGTTTTAGGAAAGAAGTTGAAAAAAACTGTGTTTGAATCGCAGGAAGTATCTAAAATCCTATCATAGCTTGAAGAATGCTCCAAAGAAACAGCAAAGCATTTGTGCTGTGAAGAGCTGTAATCTATGTGCTGGCTAGAGAGCTGTTTGGGAACTTTATGAACTTGGCTGTTTGCCTCAGTTATTTTGAGTCCCTAAGGAGTTTACTTATAAGCTCAGAACATCCATGAGGCTGAAGTAGATAAGGTTAGTGGAGGTGCTCCTAGCTCGGGAAAGCTGAAGGCAGCTGGGCTGTGAAGCCTGGCTCCTGGAAAGGCCGGTGGAAGTGCAGGGAATTTGGGATTTTGGAGCCCAAATGGAGCAGGGAGGTGCCCGGCAGAGGGAGCTCTGGCAGAGCCCACAGGTGAGCCCAGCACCCGGACCCACCTCGTAGATGCAGCACTGAATGATGGTGAGGAGGGTCAGGGCCACTGCGTGGAGACTGAAGAAAACATCATTGATGGCCACAGGGTTCACCCCGCTGGGATAACTGACCAGGAACTCCTCCTAAAGGTAAGAGAAAGTAAAACCAGCCACGTGCCTTGACTCCCTCCTGCACAGACCCACCCCCCAGCACGTGTTAAGAGAGAATCATGCTCACCTTAATCAGGGGAATCCAGAAGAGCCCAACATTAAACACACTGTATGCTATAAAGCCAGTAAGGTTTAATGCTATGAAGTCAAAGCTTAGTCCAACAACGCTAGAGAAGAGGGGAAAAAAAAAGAGAAACATGCATTAGAGAGTTACAGGCAGTTCCAGGGACAAACTGACCCTGGAATGTATTGATTTATAACAGTTTCTGGTGTAAGCAAAAGCTTCAGGCATTGTGACCACACAATGCTGTGAGTTCATCAGGAAGCTGGGTGAAATAACAGAGCTCTCTTGGATCAATTTGTGTCTCTGCTCTTTAGCTGCACCCCTCCATGAGCTCAGCCTGTCTGATAAAGCCCTTCCAGCCTGAATCCATAAAGCACAAGTGCATCATTGCCAGATCAAATGGTTTCCTTCTCATATACGATAATGCTCCTACTCAGAGTCACTTAGCTCAAGGGGAGCTGGCCAAATGTGACACTACAAGGAGGTGTCTGAGAAACAGCTGGTAATCTTTGACAGTGATCATCACAGCTGCCTCAGCAGATGATTTACAACAGGCACCAAAAGGAATGGGGAAGTCTCCTCTATCACAAATTCATACTGGATGCCAAATCTTAGGATCAGGTGTTTGTAGGATGCACTTGGTTTCCCTCCAATCTGCATGTCTAAAATCTCACTGGGGCTGCAATTATTCAGACCCTACCTTTGCCTTTTTGCCCACCTTTCCATGGATAATTCCCAATAACCAAGACAGATGTAGCTGAAGCTATGAGGATGATTGCAGAAGTGCTTTAGTGACTTGCAAACACATCTCTTTACCTTTTCCGTCGCCAGTTCTCAAAGAGTTGAGGATAAAAGGAGATGGACCAGGCAACAAAATAGATCCAGCCAATCACCTCATCAGCATATCTCACTATGATGCTGTGAATCACTTGAAATTGAATCCTAGGCCTGATGGTTAATGCAAGAAGAATCAGTTAATTAAAGCTTTTCTCAGGAGATTTTACCTTGTTCTGTTCTGAGAGAGGAAATAGAGTCCAGGTGTTGAGACAAGACAATAAAGATTCGGTTGGGTTCAGCTGAGTTGCTCCCCTTTTCATTTGTGACTTTGTTATGTTTGGGACACCTCCCACTCCCTGAGTCTTTCCTTTCCATCCTTTACCATGGTCACCAGGTCACCTTGTGCTGGTGGCTTCCCCTCCCTCAGCACAGGGTCTGTTAGGCAAGAGCAGAGCTGCACTCCTCACCCTCGTGATTGTGCTGCCCTGTGAGCGTTCCACGTGCTCGCCTCTGCCTCGAGTTTCAAAAGCAGAAGCAAAACAAGGAAGTAAAATAGGAGCACCCTGCTGCTCAGTAATATCTGAGCCACAAGCAAGTGCAGTCCAGCTTTCTCCATCTGGCTGGGCTTTTCCCAGGAGGGAGAACTGGCATCTGTGAGGAGAGGGCTCCCCTAACTGACACACCCCAGGAACTCCAGAACAAACCCTGCACAGCAAGAACAGCATCCCACTGGACACTGACAGCCAAATGCTCCCCAGAGCAGAAAAGCTGACATGTGATCTTCATACTTTTGGGAGGCACTATTAAAACCAGACTAAGGAGCCGTGAGAACTCAGTTATCTTGTAATTAAATCTAAGACACCACTCTGCTTCTGTGCCCTCTATTTACCTGAGTATTTGGGGATTTGCTGCAGGGTTACCAATCTTCTTAACTGCATCCCACCCATGTCCCATTTAACTCCTAGGAATAGTTACCCCAACTTTTAGGAAGCTACAGGATAGAAAGTAGAACAAAAAAAACAGTTTCTCACCCAGTCAAGTTGGAATTATTGGGATAAAGGTAAACTGTTACTTGTCCCACATCATCTGCTTTCACTTGGAATTCTGCTTTAGTGTGACCTGCAGGGAACTGTACCTGCAAGGCAGAGCAGAGGGAAGAAAGAGGAGTTGCACCATAGCAGCAGGAGCTTTTTGCATATGGTTACACATCTGTGCTCTCACTCACCTCATCAGGAAGTTCAACAATGGTGCTGTGCTTTGAGGAGTGTGTAATATTAAGAGTTATCACCAGTGTCTCATTTAGTGGGGCCCTGAGAAGGCAGAACAAACAAGTTAGGCTGGTACCTGAGCTCAGGGGTTGCTTTAGGGCTGCAGGGGAGCATCTCCTCAATCCTCTCAGCAATGAGCAGCCCACACACAACAGAAGCTGCCTCATACTCAGAGGAACCAGCACCAAACTGTGTGATATTGCACTGGTTCTTTTATCTGATCCAATGATGGCCACACTGTACCTCCCTCTTCTCCACACAAGTGGCAAAGTCACCAAAAGATCCTGTCCTATCCTATCCTGTCCTGGTGCTCATTACCCTTTGCTGAAACAAGGCACAAGTACTTGGGGTGATGAAGGACAGGAATTATAGCAGAAAGATAAAACAGAACAAATAAAACCTTTCCAAGTGACACAGTCCTGCACAGCTTTCCTAAAGAACTCCACTGATCATTTGTCCAGGACGTGATCCTTCTAGGAAATGCAAGTTTCTCTTAAGCATCAATTTTTAGAAAGGGAGGAACTGTAAATTCACTTATGGAGGGCAGCCCGTGTTCCAAAGGGAAAGTAAAGCTGCAATCATGATTTTACCTCAGTGAGATAGTGACGTTTGTTGAACTTCCACTTTCTAGAGAAACCACTTCAGGGACTGACAACACAATGGCTCCATCTGTGGGGGGGGGAAAAAAACACCCACACAAGTCTCAATTACTATGAACAGCTCCTTAAGAAGAACAATCTACTTTTTTTGTGCCATAGATATTTTACCCATTGGTCCCTGCAGTATCAGATCAATCACAAAGTTCACACAATAAAAAGCAAAGGGGGAAACCAAGCAACTTAAAAAGAGAAGTATATAACTGTCACTTGAACATGTTGCAAGGAAGTAATTTAAATGCTTGAAGTGTAACAAAAGTTAATGCCAAGGGAAGATTATAAGGTACTGCAAACCCACCATGGTTCTTGATGTGATCTTGGTGATCTAGGAATCATAAATGCCCCAAATTTATTATAAAATTGTTTCTTGGGCCACAAATTCAATCCAAGTACCCAGATGTGCAAGAGAACGTACATTTACAGAAACAGAGAGACACACAGGTTGCACAGGTTGGCCTGGACACTTTTTTTGTGTCAACTTTTTACTGTTGCCACATACTACACATTGTCTGTAAGAAGTTATGCGCAGAGGAGCTCCCAGTTCATCACTGACTGCACCCCAGGCACTATTCAATCTGCAGAAGTGATTTTGGAGCACGAGGTGCACAACCTCTGCACAGTGTAGGAGCACAAGAAGCCGAGGTAAGGGGTGAGAGAAGAGCTGATGTGAAGCGTGGCACGGGTATCCCTGGGGAGATGTAAAGGGATAACTAAAGAGCTGCTCTTTTCCATCTCTTACTGATCTGGAGCCCTGTGGGCCCAAGCTGCGCTGACCAAACACTCACCGCCAGGCCCCAGCAGCGCCAGCGAGAGGCTCAGCAGAGCGGGGAGCAGGTACCGCGTCCTCATGGTGGAAAAGCTGCGGAAAAAGCAGGGGAGAAGCTTTCCTCAGCACCCACACGGCCACACAGCCCATCCCCTCCGCTGGGAGCCGCGGCAAGCGGCTCCCTCCGCAGCACCACGGCCCCCAGCCCGGCCGAGGGACCCTCAGCTCCCCTCGGAGGGTACCGCTCTCCCCGTCCCGGGCACATCTTTACCTCAGCACTGCTCCCGTGACGGACCCGCCCCACCCCAACGCGCGGGACTACAAATCTCGGCAGCCCCCGCGCCCACGCCAGACCCTCGCCGCTGGCGGCGCGCCGCGGTGCACGCTGGGACTTGTAGTCCGGCCGCTCTTTCCTCCGGCGCTCCGGCGGAGCGGGGTGCGCGGTGCTTTGGAACGCGCCGCTGCCGAGGCGGCGGTACCGGGGAGCGGGCGGCAACCCACCCCCTTCAGTGCCCCGCGCCGTCCCGGTTCTTCCTTTTTCAGCTCTCACGTGAGGCGATCGCCTGTGGACTCCCCGCCCAGCGCCCACCGCGTCGCTGCGGCCGCCCCCGGGGGCCATCTTGGGTGTGGCGGAGCGGGTCCATGAGGGGGGCAGAGCCGTGAGCGGGGGGACAGGGTGGGCTGGGCGCCGTGGTGGTTTGGTTTGGATAAAAAGCATGGTTTAAAGCAGCGCAGGTTAGCTGGGGAAGGGGCGCTCTGTTACTGTCACAGTGGAGGGGTAGCGACCGGGGAGCGCTGACGGCAGGGAGCACCTCCAGCCTGAGGGCGAAGTCCAGGTCGCGGTCCTGCCCCGTCCCTGAGAGCCCGCAGGGCGGCACCAGGGGCCTTGAGGGGCTCGGCCGGGAGGGTCTCGGGCGGCACCGGGGGCCGTGAGGGGCTCAGCTTGGTGGGTATTGTTCCGCCTGTGACAAGGTGACAGCCATCCCCTCATGGCCGCGGCGGGCGGGCCCGGGCCCACCTGTGTGCTGGGCATTGACCTGGGCACGACGTCGGTGAAGGCAGCGCTGGTGACAGGGACAGAGCGAGGTCTGGCGCTGGCACAGAGCTGCTCCAGGGAGACGCAGGCACACAGCGATAGCCCGGGAGCTGCACCGCAGGTAAGGGCTCAATTGTCCTGCAATTTCCCTCAGGGAGTGCTGAGGAACATTGCAGGACGCCGGCCTTGCCTTGCAGTGCTTGGGTTGTTTGGTACATTGCGCAGAGTGCAGTGGCTTTCCTGGATTGTTTTGGTGCCCAGATTAGCAGCATATGTCTGGGTATCAAAAGGATTAAAACACCCCCTGCTCACCGTTCAAGGAAGTCAAGCAGAACTGCTTGACTTAAAAAGGACCCAGGTTTTGAAAAATTTGCCTAAGACACTGTAAAATTGTTCTCCCATGAGCCACCACCTTGTCTTTGACACTCCCAGTAAGGAAACAGCAACCACTTGCCAACTGGAAGGGTATTTTATTTAGCACTTCAGTGTGAGGTGAAATCATAACTGGAAACTCCCTGTGAAAATAACCAGGAAGAAGTGTTCCTGTTAAAGATCTTTACATCCATTGTGCTGCTCAATCTAAAAAAAGGATTAATCAGAATCATAAAATATGTGCACTGTTTCTGATACCAAGGATACCAAACAGGCCAACCCTCCTCCTGCCAATTTTTTCAGCTTAAAGTACCTATGCACAAAGTTCACATTTATTTGTAGACTCTGTTGCAATAGTTTTGTAAACGTCATACCGGTCTGGCACAAAGTAACCTGAACCTTTGAAAGTGTGAAAGCTTCTGGGGAACTGTTGGGTCAATTTGCTGGGTGGTTCTAGGAATAGAATATCCAGAAATTGAATATCAGCATCACCAAAATCATCAGTGAGTAAACAGGGAGGAGCTTTAGGAAAGAGGCAGGGGAGGCTGCACACCTGCCAGAACACATGGATTTTTTGCTCTGTGAGGAGAATGAAGAGCAATAGATAAGGTGAAATAATGAAAGCTTGTAGTCAGTGGTCGTGGATTTTTTTAAAGTTACAGTTGAGTGTGGTTATTTAGGAAATTAAAAATTATTTGGCCTTCAGCTTAAGAGGCTCAACTTAGTAGTATTGATTTTTAGTTTTTGTGGGTTTGTGGGATTTTTTTGCAATTTTTCTTTTCTTTTTTTTGTTACAGTTTAGTAGTGAATATTACTCTCATAAATGCTATTAAACTAAATGAATTCTGTCCTTCACTTCTGACTAAAGCAGCCTTGTTTAATAAATACACTGAGTGAATCCTAATGGCTTCATGCTCAGGATAATGCTTTGTGATTGCAGGGAATGGAGCAGGATGTCCAGAAAATCATAAGAGCATTGAATGAATGCCTTGCTGCTCTGCCTCAGCAGCAGCTTCAGCAAGTCACCCACATTGGGATTTCTGGACAAATGCATGGGGTTGTGTTTTGGAAAAGTGATAAAGGTAACTTTCATTCTTTAACACTCCTGCTCAGAGTATTATGATGCACAAAATTAAATTGTAACATTAAACTGCTGCATCACTTTGGTCTTCTCTAAAACAGAATTAACAGAAGATCTCTTATGGGAATTTTGCTTTTTTTTGCTGAAATTTCAGCTACTCACTATAGTTAATGATAAAGGATTTAGCCTAATGACATCCCTGCAGGTTCAGCACAATTATTAATATAAAAGAGGAATAGCATATTTGTGCCTTGTTAATTGTTTCTCCATCACGTGCTATCTGCTGCCCTTTGAAAGAACTTCTGCATCCTGTGAATAACTTGCAGGGGGATTTTATTCACCTCATAAACCCCTTACCTAGATGCTGTCCAGCATCTCAAAAACTCTGTTTTTTTCCCAAAATCCCAAGACTTTTTTTTTCCTAGCAAGTCATGCATTAATGTCATGTTGCATTCATTTTGTTGCTTATGCTTCTGTTAGTAGGAGCTGGAAAGGAGTGTGGTCAGGATTGTGGATGCTCAGCTGCTTGCCAAGACCTCAGAGACAAAGTCAGCTGCAGTGAGGTAGTCATGGTAGTCATGTGGGGCTTGGTTGTGCAAATGCCCAGATAATCCTTGTGATAGGGAGGATATTTGAGGAATCCAGGCCTTGGATTGCCAGCCCTGTGAGACAGGGATGGATTATCTTCTTGGCTAATGTCTTAGGGACCTTCTGAAGTCTTAGGCTTCCAGAGAGTGGGTCCATGTCTTCTGCACTTAACCCTGTACTATGCTCATCTGGACAATTATACAATTCTTATTATAACAGGAGTTATGCAGATGAAGTAAAGATGTAAACCACAGAGCAGATTTCCCAAAAGTGCTGGTCACTGCCTGTCAGAAGTTGTCAGAGTCTTAATTGCTTGAAGAGGCACTGTACTATTCATTACTGGCTGTAATTTTACATTAAATACCAAAAATGATTAGAAAGAAAGAAGTCCAAGGGCTGATGGACTGGAGGAGCTGTTGTTGCTTCCCAGCTGTCCCAGGAGCTGCATAACAAAGCCTTGTGTATTCACAGGCACAGATTCTTATGTCATATTGGTAAATATTTTATGTCCTAAAGCCACATGCCACTTTAGTTTCATTTCTATCAAGTGAAAGAGGGTGTTTGCTCTCATTTGTTTTGAGTGGACTAAGTGAATCCAGGACCTTTGGGACACAAATAAAAATTTTAATAGCGTCCTTTAGGGTTAGATTATGACTAATAATATTTCTTAGAATCCATTTAAAATGAGAAAAGCAAGCCAATTGGAAATTCAGTTCAAAGAGATTTGATAGAACAGGGAATTGAGGAAACAAGAAAAAGTATGTGCTTTATTTTGCATGTTTCTCATGGCACCTCCCAGCCTCCAGGGCTGCTTTTTGCTGTGTGAGTTCCAAGCCCTGTATCCAACCCAAGAATTATATTTTTTAGCCATACTTGTGGGAGTCAGGAAGCTGAGTATTTTCTCTTGACTCTCTGCTCTGTGGCCAAATCCCAGAGTTTGCCTCAGCTGCAGAGTGAGTGACCTGTCCTGTCCCTGTGTCCAGGGGTGGCCTGGGAGGGGTCAGAGCCGTGCCCTGGAATGTGCAGGCAAACAGTGCTGGAGCCCAGCTCTCCTCTCCAGTGGAAGAATGGGAAAGTTTCCTCAGAGGTGTGGTGATCTCTGCTCAAAGGGAACGTGCTGGACTGGGAAACTGAATTCAACCCTGAATTAAACCCTGTCCTACCTTTGCTGTGTTGTACATGAGGATTTTGCTCTTAAGCACTTTGCAGTGCACTGCTAAATACTCTCAGATGCAGGTTTCTTGTTGCTTGGGCTCCAGAGGTGATGCAGCTTTGTGCTCTCCATCCTGGGCAGTTCATTACTGAGGCAGCATTCTCCAGGTGGTGATTTAAAAAAAAAACCAAAAACCCAGCTGAGGTTTTCATGTGAGAGCTGCCATGCCAGCTCCTCACCTCTCATAGCAGACTGTGGTGGGTTTTCTTGAGGCTCACCTGGTATTTAAGTTGTATCTTTAATATCTCTCTTCAAGAGAAGGAAGGCTTTGGATACCATTCTCTGTGTTACAAAGGGGAATTTGCATTATGATGTTATCTAGGGCTGGAAACTAAGACTAAGACAAAGACAATTTCATTTGTCATTTCAAAACTAAGACTAAGACAATTTCATTACAGTCTCTACTGGCTGTATTTCTGATATATTTAACAAATTATCAAGTGTGTCCAGAAATGAGGAATGCCAGGCAGGCTGTGCTGCAGGGAGTCACTGGATTTCTTGGATTCTGTTTTGTTCTCAGGGTGCAAGTGGTCAGAGAGTGGCCCAGGCCCTGCCTTTGAGGCAGACAGGGTCAGCCACCTGGTCACCTGGCAGGATGGGCGCTGCAGCCCCGCCTTCCTCAGCTCCCTTCCTCTGCCTCAGTCACACGTGAGCCTGGCTACAGGATTTGGGTGTGCCACAGTCTTCTGGTATTCAAAGAACAGGTACATTGCTGCTCCAAAGGCTCTTCTCATCTTGGATTGATGGGACATTAGTATTCTTGTAGGACGTTAATGCTGCTGCAGGCTGAGGCTGTGCTTCTCTGTAATCATAATCTTAATTAAGTAGTCAAAGAATATTTAAAATAGCAGTATTTCATATAAACTATGTGCAATTAAGCATGCAAGAGTCTCTGACCTCATAAAAATACTACAGATCACTAATAAAAGGATAAGCTTTTGATCATATAGGAGTAGAAGCTTTAAAGCATCATAGAGTAACTCTGGTCTGTCCCATGGCTCAGAGCAGCTCTGCTGGTGCAGTTTGAACACTGTCATTTTGCCTTGTGCTGCCCTGTGGAAAGTACAGACATGCCTAAAACAGTAACAGAGTTGCTTGGTCTGGTTGCTGCCAGATGCCAAAACAGAGTCTCTAAATTAATTTCAGTTCCTTCCTTCCTCAGACACTGAGACAGATCCTCATGGGGTGACACAAGTGCTCTGCTTTGTTGTGGTGTGTTTGCAGAGGATATAATTTTTCACTTATGATTTGGCATCAGCAAGATTTGCTCTTCAGTTTCATCTTTCTCAGAGAGCCAGTCTCTTCCTCTGCAACGAGTTCAGGTTCAATGAATGGGGAAATTTTTATTAGGTCTTGTTTTTTTTCACTGTGTGTCCAGCAAATCTATGGAGCATGGTGTGATCTTTAGAGCTGCATAAGTCATGAGTCCAGCTGCTTTGTTTTGCTTCACATGTGGTACATTTCCATTCATATCATTTGTGGATCCCACAGCAAGTGGGAATTTACCTATTTTTCAGTAATGCTCTGGGATCAACAAAGTGTTGTTTATTTCACACAAACAATCACTACTTTCCTGGTAATTTTTTTCCATGCTGTGCTTTTGAACCTTTGACAACCCATTCCTTAAAGCTGCCCTCTCTCCATCTTCCATCTGCAGATAAGTATTGCTGCAGCTTGGATAACAAATTCCATTTAAAAAACCAAACCAAAACACTAAAATTCAGGTTGATCACTGAGGTGGCTGTTTGATATTTTAATGGACCCACATGTCTGAAGTTCCCCCTAACAATGAAAACTGTCTTCTCTCACTGCTTTAAAGCAAAAACCCCTCTGTTTTTTGGGATTTTTTTTCAAACATCTTTTTTAAAAGTCCAGATTTTCTGAAGGCTTATGATGCAGCTGGCACGATCCAGGACTACGTGGTTGCCATGCTGTGTGACCTGAGGAAGCCACTGATGTCTGTCCAGAATGCTGCCAGCTGGGGATATTTTAACTGCAGAAACAAGAGCTGGAATACTGAAATGTAAGTGCTGAGGCCATTCAGGGGGGTTTGTGCACTGCTTGTGGCAGGCAGTGCAAGCACCTCTGGGCTCTGACTGTTGATGTGCTACAGATAGAAAGGGATTCAGAGTTATTTCTAATCAATTGTAGCCTGTACTGAGGAGCTATTGAGAGCTTGCTCTGTTTAATCTGATAAAATCTGGCCCAGTAATTTTAAAAATACCTACAAACAGCAGAGCTGAGAGACTTATCAGTGATTCCAAGCTGTTCTCCCCCTTTCTGTGGGGAGTGGGATGGAGAAGTGCAGCCACAGTTACCTGTGCCATGGTAAACAGTTACCACTCTCTGGTTCTTTGAGCTGAGCTTCATAATTTCTAAGACTTACTTGTGATAATACTTAAGAGCTATTAAGCTACAGGAAATCTTAGAAGGAATCAGTTTATTTGTTTACTTATTTATTTTAATGATTTGCTCTTTCAGGGCTGAGTGCTAAGGCCTTATATATTTCAGGGCTTAGGTTAGGCCAGGACTCCAAGGTGAAAGATCTTCTCATCAAGGTATGAAAGAGTGACAGAAATTTGCATTTTGCTGACTGAACTGAACTGTTACTAATGTGGTGGTGTTGCTGTAGCACCTGCAGCTGATTGTGTAAGGAGTTTGTTGGACTTAACTCTTCATGATTTTGTTGTGAACTACTAATTGCATGACAACTGGAGTTCTTTGACACTCTAGCTGCATTTTTTGCTGGTTTTGTGATTGTCCCTTCACCCTGGACCTGCTTGTCCATATGACATCAGTAGGTTAAACTTGCTGAACATGCACTGTATAATCTGAGGTGCTCAGATTGCATAGAAAAGAAAACAATTTATTCTTCCAGACTGGTTTACCCAACCCACTGGACTGGAATCTGCCCCTGTCCAAGGCCAAGCTTTCTAAACTGGTGAAAGCATCCATAAATCCAGCAGCCACAAATGTGTGGCCAGGTTCATCTGTGACTTCAAAGAGTTTTCTGTAGTAATACCACACATTCCCAAACTGCTTTATTCCAGTAATGTTGTTCTGCTTCCAGACTGAAAAAATCTGGCTTTCCTGTCCACTTGCTTCCAGAGGTGGGAGACCCTGGCAGTATTGCAGGCAGGACAACCTGTGCATGGCATGGGATACCCCAAGGAGCAAAAGTGGGAATTGCTCTGGGAGATTTCCAGTGCTCAGTTTATTCCTGTCTGGCTGAGAGGACCGATGCAGGTATGGTCATTTTGGTATCTAAGTTGTTTCTCTCATTGTTCTCCTTCAGGGTAGCTCAGTAAAACACTCTTTATTTTTCTTTTTTTTTTTTTTTTTTGTGCATGTTTTAGTTCTTAATATCAGCACCTCTGCTCAGCTGACCATCTCAATGCCCCTGGGTTTCCAGCCTCCAGAGGCACCAGATCCTTCCTCAGCTGTCACTTACTTTCCCTACTTCAATGGTGACTACTTGGCAGTGGCAGCATCACTCAATGGAGGGAACGTGCTTGCAGCATTTGTGGGAATGGTGGCACAGTGGGCACAAGAGCTGGGTAAGTCCTTTCAAGGAGAGTTGAAGCACAAAACTGGGCTTGATCATCAAGGTAAAAGGAAGCTGAAGCAAAGGGACAAGCCTGGAGCTGTTTCATCATGCCATAAAGGGAACAAGGATGGAATTCCTGGGTCATGCTTCCCAGATCTCTGGAATTTCCTGCTGAAGCTTTTGAACATGCTGGGACAGTCATGCTTGGACTCCACATTCATATTCCCTCTAGGCCTTCTTTTGTTTCAAGCACAGAGTTATTTTGTGCAAGTGGATTTTCAAAAGGCAAAGTTGGCAGATTTGAGGACAGCAGCCTGTAATTTTGTGTGACTGCAGTCCAAAGGAGTCCTTTTGGTGCATATTTCGCAGCACTAATGGATTTTAAGACTCAAATTCATGGAATATCTAAGTGCTTTAAGCATGGCATTGACAGGTTTTTTAATAATCTCTTGGGTTTTGCACTACAAAAATCAGCTCTGAAATTGTTCTTTCAGTAAGTACTCGAGGTGAATGTTGCATTCACATGGAATCCAGCTACTGTTTTGTGGGACAGTACAGGCAATGAGGAGTAGCTGTTGTTGTCAGGAAAGGCAGTTGCTGCAATCAGAAAAAGGTTTCTGCTATTGCACATTCTGGGTACAGCTGGAGGGTAGAATTATGGTTCATAATCTTGGACACACAATTACCTTTGGGGCACAGAAAAAGATATCCAATATTTTGCTGAAGGGGTGCATCAGTGTCTACTGTAACTGTCCACATGTGAGATACACAAGACCCTTTCAGATTGGTAACAAGCTATTTCCCATCTGCAGGATTTCAGGTTGAGGAATCTGCCATCTACCCAAGGATAATCCAAGCAGCCTTGGCCCAAAAACACAGCAAGCTCTCAGTCCAGCCAACCATATTTGGAGAGAGACACCTTCCTGAGCTGCTGGCATCAGTGAGCAGCATTGGGGCCTCTGAGCTGTCCCTGGGCCATGTCACCAGAGCCCTGTGCCGTGGCCTCGTGGAGAACCTGTGCTCCATGTTCCCAGTGCAGCAGCTGCAGGAGCTGGGGGTCAGCAGGGTCCTGGGCAGTGGCAGTGCCCTTGCCAGGAACGAGGTGCTGAGGCAGGAAGTGGAGAGGATTTTTCCATTCCCTGTGCTTTATGGGAAGGATGTGGATGCTGCTGTGGGGGCAGCTATGGTGATGTTCCATAGTAAATAAAGTCATTATTTGGAATGGCCTGATGCAGCTTCTGGTTTTTTCCTGACTCTATAATGTTTTGGTTTTTACTTTATTTCACATGCACTCTCATTCATTACAGTGGGACAAAACCCCTGCATTTAATGTCTGCTTCTCCTGGGTCTGCACATTTTGTTGCTCTCTCATCCCCATTTGTGAAATGAGGAGTAATTATCACATTAAATTTATCTGAGTGACTGGGAAAGATCCATTAACTTTCTGCATAAAAAGACACTTCTTGTGAGGCTCATTTTCCTGGTAGGAAATATGTTGGAAAGGGCTGGGAGAGATGAGCTGCTGTCTGTAATTTGCTCTGATGCTTTTGTGCACTCCTGTAAAAGTTCCAAGTTTTATCCCCTATGTTATTCTCTTAGAATTTCTTTCTTCTCCTAGTCTTTATTTTAATGTTAAAACATTTCTACTTTTCTGTCTACATGTACATTTCTTTTGCTCAAATAACTTTGGAAACAAGTAAGGTGTTTCATGTTATCTGCATACAGTTTCATTCCTAGGAAGCACATTTCCTCTGCAATATGGACATGGATTCCCCTCTTGCTCATTAGCAACATCAGGACTGACATTTTTATGGTGAGAAAGCTGTGCTGAGTTCTGAGATCTTAATCACAGAGATGGCTTCATTTCCATTCCATGTCACGTTTAGAGAACTGTTGAATGTTACAGAGAAAATGTTGACCAGAGGTGTTGGAAAAAGTCTGAATTTGTTATATGTTGTTTTTCCTATTGCATTATTATAAATATATTTTTATCAACAGGTCTGCTTTCATTTCTATTGAATAACAGGCAAGAGCTGATGATGCTGTTGCATCAAAAGCCTTTGCAGTGTTTTGGATGCTGCTGAGGAGCTGCCTATTGGTAATCTATATTTATGCATTAATAAAGAGCCTTGTTACTCTGAGTACCACACTTCTAAGGAGTATAATTAGTTTGCTATTAAATAGGTAAATACATAATTCTTTTATGTATTCATGGATAGATGGCAAGACTAGAGAGACAGCCAGCCACCTTTTACAAAACAAAAGACTGATAATTTTATTGAATAATTTCATATTCTACTCAAAATCTCAGGAAGTTGGGGGGTTGTTCCCAGCCTAACAGCCTCTGGAAAAGCTGTTTCTCCAGACCAGTTTCTGTCAAAAAGATCTTATGTAAATTATATATTTAGCAATATATGACACAGCTCTGAATTTTTGAGGGTGTTAGATCCATCCAGAATTAGATAAATTGGGTTTTTTTCCTCATAACATTAGTATTTAGAGGCTGACCCTTACATACCTGTATATAAAATTTAAAAAAAACATAGGAGAAACATGAAATAATAAAAAGGATTTTGGACTTACTGGTTCTTCCTCAACTCTGTTCTGAATTAGCTTATGGTTAAAATATTTATCTTTAAATCAGCCACACATGAAAGATTTTACAAAGTTTTGTAAATTGAATTGAAATTCAAGAATTGAAACTGTGACCCCCCCAGAAACAATTGCTGTCTGGTAGTTTGGGTGCTGTTTGTTTTTTTGTTTTTTTTTTAATTTATTTTTTGCAAACTTGAGTGTATTTACGAAGAGGAAATCTGGAGAAGAATATCCATTACTAAATGCAATTAAAGGGGAGGGAAAAACAGCAGCAACTTACTGCAATTCTTGTAAAGAGCTTTGCTAAACCTCTGGGAATAGAAGCCACTGATGCTTCTGGTTCCAGAATTGTTCTTAATTATCTTATTGCTCTATTCTCTGTTTTTCCAGTGAACTTCCCTTGGTTCTAAAAATCATCACATTTTGCAGACAAATGAGGTGGAGAAGCAAACTCTGAGGGCTTTGCAGTCCAGGCACCTTGGAGGAGGAATATCTGGCACCAAATTCCTGTAGATCAGTGGGTGTTTACTGAGGCTGGACCATTTCTCAGAAGACAGGATTTTTGTCAGTATTTGTAAGTTCTGCATGTATATTTGAATAGCATGGTTGGTTATTTTTAAACTCTGTTATTTGTGATGTGGCAAGGCATTCTAGCCAAAATATTTCCTTGTTCATTGTATGAAACTTTTGTTTATGTGGGTTTCAAAGAGGTCAAGTATGTTCTGCATTTTTTAAACTAGATAATGCTTATTGGGTTTTTTTGATAATACTTCCTCAGATTTGTGAAGGTTATTTCCCTTGCAAATTCCTACTCATGAGGAAATGCAGCTTTGTCTTCATTATCAAATAAATTACCAGGGTTTAGAAAGGAAAGCATGTATAATGTAGGTTTGAGCAATTGCCAGGGAGACAGGACTGAACCTATTCTGCACATTTATATTTATTTTGTGGAAAGTAATTGATTGTGTGTTCTGTAGCCACTCACTGTTTGGCTCAATCCACATGAGTTTAAATAGACAAAAAATTAAAATTATACATGACTATATTCCCTCTGTATTTTTTCTATATTTTATAGACTGGTTTTATTCCTTTTTCACTGTAGCAATAGTTCTTCTGTAATTTTAGTATCTTGTTTCAAATAGAAATATTTTTATTTCTTATTTATAGGACAATTCAGTTAATAAGATATTATGTTTTTCTTTCAGAGTGGTTCTAAGAAGACAAATTACTTGAAAGGTGAGCAAGTTAAATTGCAGTCATTAGCATTTTATCTGTGCTAAGATAGATTGTTTCCAGTAACCCTAAATGTGCAAGTTTGCAAATTGATGTTTTATTTACGTGTATATTGTACAAAATTATAGAAAACGCAAATGACAAAAATTTTCACAGAAAAATGTAAGTGACCCTTGATGTAAACATGAATTATTCCCACAGAACTGAAAATCCAGCTCCAATGCAGGTTTGCACACAACCCTCAGAATGTTTTTCTTGTGAAGAGAAACAACCTTGAAGCGTGTTCATGTTGTTTTCATGCTGACTGTACAGAGAAAATTACTGACCACTCCAATGTGGTTTATAATTTGAGGCTTTTAAAGATTTAGTGACATTCCTGTGCTCAAAGCTGTAGGATTTCCAAGCAGTGTGGGCTTTCAGAGCATGTCTCTAAGCCAGCTGTGCAGCAGTTCAGATATGATGTGTTCCTGTCTCCTCTGCTGGAATTCCAGGATATTTTCCATTCACTGGCACGAGGACAATATTTGTCTGATTAAAACAGGTTGATAAGAAACCAAACAAAAAAAAAAAAGGCAACCTGTTCTACCTTCAGCAGAGTGTGTTATCTGTGAGGGTGGGGAGGCACAGGCTGCCCACAGCAGCTGTGGCTGCCCCATCCCTGGGAATGTCCAAGGCCAGGCTGGACAGGGCTTGGAGCAACCTTGAATAGTGGAAAGTGTCCCTGGCCATGACAGAGGGGTGGAATGAGATGAGCTTTAAGCAGCCAAAGCATTCTCTGGTTGTGTATTTGTTGCTTGTGTCAGGTTCTGTGTGCTTGTGAATCAGACAAGATCAGCTGTGGTTGTTCTTATCTGTGCTAAGCTCTCCTCTGCGTTTCCGTGCCTCATGGCTGAGGTGACACTCACCTCTCAAGGATCACACTCTGCACTTTCCATCAGGCACTGCCACAACTCTGGTAAAGCCCTTAAAGGGATCATTTTCCTGGGTGCAGGAAGCCCTCTGTGCTCAGCATTCCAGAGGTCAGGTTATGGCACAAGCTGGGCTTTTTCACATCCCTGATAGAATCATGAGAATGGTTTGTGGCACAAACCAGTCAGAAAGTAGAGAAGAAAAGCAGAGATTTTGGGGGTTTGAGGTTGTTCATGCTGTAGCAATGACTGGAGGATGAGGCAGTGCTTTTAGGCAGAGGTAGCTGAGGCTCAGCTCTGCAGGGAAATGAAGGGAAACTCTGGGATGCTCTGGTTTGCTTTCTGCATTCTGGAATGGGTAAGGGCAGTGGGAACAGATACAAATGGAATAAAGACCCTACTAAACTGTTCTAGCTGTGGGCACAGTGAGAATGTGTCCATCTGTCTCATTTCTGGGATGAGAGCAAGCAACCCACTCCCTGCTGTTTGTGGAAAACATTCCTGGGCAAAAGGGACTCATGGGCCTGTAAGTGCTGACCTGAGGTGTTTGTGTCCTTCCTCACAGACTGCTGGCTTATCATGTCCTCCATCCTTGGGAAGATGAAGAAGTTTGGCAGTTTTGACATGGAGGAATCTGAAGTGACAGATGAACACACAGATGGGGAGGACTCTGTCCAGGAAGCCCCTGACAACCCCCAGGGCCCACTCAGCTCCCGGCTGCACCCACCCAAAAGCAACATTTTTGCAAGACGGGGCCGCTTTGTGATGGGGGACAGTGACAAGGACATGGCTCCCATGGACTCCTTCTGCCAGATGGATCACCTGATGGCACCTTCTGTCATCAAATTCCACGTGAATTTGGAGAGGGGCAAACTTCACAAGTAAGTCTGCCTGCTGAGATTTGCTTGTAATGAGTAGTTTGACAGCTGCAGGCCATGGTTCTCAGAGCAGCATTTGTTCTCTCCACTTGAGCAGGACCATTTTTTCAGTTTCAGTATTTTCCATGCCAAATTAAGGAATGTTGCAACTGAAAGTGACAATAACTGTTGTCTCTTGGCATCTCTAAAAATATCTATCTCCATGGATATTATGCCCAAAATTGGCAGTGGGCCTCAGTTCACTCGCTTGAGGCTGCTCAGTGAATGGACATGGTTCAGAGTGAGAACAAGGGATTGCCTGGCTCCAGGCTTGCAGTTACACTGCCAAGCTTCAATGCCTCTTTGATCACTTGTTCTCAGCTTTTCAACAACAGAATTGTAATTTTATCAGGAGAGTTGCTTGCAGACTTTGTTCTTTTAGTCTTTGCAGAGGTACCTATTCTGATCTGCAGCATTTACTGCTTCACCTGAGCAAATGAAGAGCAGTGTTCTGGTAGTTGATAAAAAGCCTGCTAAATATCTGACATGAGGTAACTGACATTTCCCCTTGTTAGGCTCCTATCTACAGATTCCATCACAGGCTGCTCAGAAAAAGCTTTCAGATTTTATGACCGCAGAAGGATCTTTGATGCTGTAGCCCAAGGCAACACAAAGGACCTCAGTGACCTGCTACTCTACCTTAACAGAACCTTCAAGCATCTCACAGATGAGGAGTTCAAAGGTATCTTTTAGTGTCACATACCTTGAGTTGCCTTCTTCTTCTTCCAGTAGTGCTCCCGAGATGAAAATAAAAAAGATAATTATGTGACATGTCTGCAGGAGGTCCTTTAATAGCCCTATTGATTGGGCAACCCATTGATTGGAAGGTTGCAGGAGCTGAAATTTTCTGTGAAACACTAAATGAGGTTTCTTGTCTTTTGAAAAGAACCTCATTAATTCCTGCTTGCCTGGGTTTAGATGGTGGGTTTGTAATCACTTCTATATACCTGCAATTTTTTGTTTTACAGAGCCTGAAACTGGCAAAACCTGTTTACTGAAAGCCATGCTGAATCTACATGATGGGAAAAATGATACCATTCCCTTGCTGCTGGATATTGCAAGGAAAACTGGAACTCTGAAAGAGTTTGTTAATGCAGAATATACTGACAACTACTACAAGGGTAAGAGAAGCAGCTGCTGCAGTGGATGCTTAGGGTGCTCAGACTGCAATGGGGTCAGGCAGGGCTCTCAAAGTCTTGTGCATGAGGCTTTATGCACCCCAAAGTTCTGGTGTGTCATTGACAATTTGTGCTTTTGTGCTGGAGCTGTTCCCTGTTAGGGGCAATATGCTGCCATTTTTGATATACAGTCATTTAATGACTTGCATTTGCTGTTTGTGTGGTTTTTTCCCTGTTCAGTTGTAGAGCTTTTTAGCCTGCAGAGCTCTCAGTTCCAGCATCTTACATGGAGCTGAGGGAATTGCAGTGCTGAAAGCTCTCAGTCTGTACTAAATGCTGAGGATTCCTGTCTGATGGGTGTCTCTGCAGGCCAGACTGCTCTTCACATTGCCATCGAGAGGAGGAACATGTACCTGGTGAAGCTCCTGGTCCAGAATGGAGCAGATGTTCATGCCAGAGCCTGTGGGGAGTTCTTCAGGAAAATCAAAGGGAAATCTGGCTTTTATTTTGGTAGGAGTGAGCACAGTATGGTCTTTATTGATGGAGTTGTGCTAGCAGCATCCCAAGTGCAAGCTGTTAAATAATCCTGTTTGTGTGGGACTGGAGGCTCAGAAGTACCAGATGGGCTGTTCCACCTTTAGGCCAAATATTTCCTCCCAAAGACTGAGCTTATAAAGAAGCACAGTTGGTAGCTGATGGTGTTCAGTGTGAGCCTGGTGTCAGCTTTCCTTTGTTCTCTGAGCACTGTATCCTTTGTAACCTGCTCCTGTCCTGGCAGGGTATTTTAAGCAGCTGTGTTTCTGTGATGTAGTTAAACTAAAGAAAACCTATTTTAACAGCTATTACAAGAATTAGTGCTGTTCCAGACAGAGAGATTAATCTTTTCTCATGGTGAAACCAATGTGATGTTTCTGTTTATGCACCTCTAGTACTGGGCTTTCTGACCACTCCTTCCCATTGCTTGCCATAGGAGAGCTGCCTTTGTCCCTGGCTGCCTGCACCAACCAGCTCTGCATTGTGAAGTTCCTCCTGGAGAATCCCTACCAGGCAGCCAACATTGCTGCTGAAGACTCCATGGGCAACATGGTCCTGCACACACTGGTGGAGATTGCAGATAACACCAAGGATAACACCAAGTTTGTGACCAAGATGTACAACAACATATTGATCCTTGGTGCCAAAATTAATCCCATCCTCAAGCTGGAAGAACTCACCAACAAGAAAGGGCTGACTCCTTTAACTCTGGCAGCCAAAACAGGGAAAATAGGGGTAAGTGAACAAAGGTGTTTGACTGTCCCGTTGTTGTGTCACATTATAGAGAGAACATGTAAAACATTTATGCAGAATGGATTTTAGAAGTTCATTATTGAGGCCTTTTAGTTAAGAGGAACTGATGCTGCTGCTTAACTGCACAGTCCTTAAAGGCTACAAAGAGTGAGTGTGTCTGTGCCCAGCTGGTTTATTCACACCCCACTGGTATGCAAGGCAGCCCCAGAGGAAACAGAAAGTGTATCTCTGATATCATCTGAACCACTGGAGCTCTTTTATTTCACACTGGCTGATGTAACTCATCTTCTGGCAGTCCCCATTCAAAGTGACTGCTCAGAGATGTGTAACATCTCTGTTTTTCTCTTGCAGTTTTGAAACAAGTAATTCCAAGTTGTAAGAGGTGTTTGTATTTCTCATCTCCCACCACAGAGTGAGAAAATTAACTGTGTTTATTTTATCCTGTGATCTCTGCAGTGCTCCAGTGGTTTGGCTTCAGCTCAGTTGAACTGGGGAGAAAAGACCCTTTCTGTGTTGTGGAGAGGCTGAGGAATGAGAAGTTCATTAGCACTGAAATGTTGGTTGTATTGTTCTTTTGCAATTAGATTTTCGCTTACATCCTCAGACGGGAGATCAAAGACCCCGAGTGCAGACACTTGTCCAGGAAGTTCACTGAATGGGCCTATGGACCTGTCCACTCCTCTCTTTATGACCTGTCCTGTATAGACACCTGTGAGAAAAATTCAGTGCTGGAGATCCTTGCCTACAGCAGCGAGACACCAGTGAGTACTGCACCTCCTTGCCCGGGGAGAGCCTCACTGAGCATCTTTTCCCTCATTTCCATGAAACAGCAACCTCCACCCTGAGCTTAAGGGAACTAGAGGGATCATTTGCTGAAGATTTTATAGAGTATGGGTTTTTTCAAAGTCCAGTATATTCTGGTCCTACCAAAATTCTCCTGTTGCTCCTGCACAGAACCGTCACGAGATGCTGCTGGTGGAGCCCCTCAACAGGCTGCTGCAGGACAAGTGGGACCGCTTTGTCAAGCATTTGTTTTACTTCAACTTCTTCGTCTACACCATGCACATCACCATCCTCACTGCAGCTGCTTACTACAGACCTGTACAGAAGAATGAAAAGGTACATTATCCTGTCATGTGCCAGGGAAACCACCCACTGCATGATATTCCAATTTGAATGCGTGCCCTTAGCATCCAAATTTTCCCCTTTCCAAAAGGCAGGAGAGAGATTTGACTCTGCTTGCTTCCCAGTCTTGCCCCCTTGCTGCAGCACATTGAGAAACTTAACCACTCCCTGTTCCCCCAGAAATGGAGTTGCTTCCAGGCAAGGCCAGGTATTTCTATCCCAGTTCTGCTGAACATATCTGTTTTCCTGTCTTCTACAGCCTCCCTTTACCTTTGGTTACAGTACTGGGGAATATTTTCGAGTAACTGGAGAGATCCTGAGTGTACTGGGAGGCCTCTATTTCTTTTTCAGAGGGGTAAGATATTTGAAAATTTTCATTTTGCTGTTTGGTAGGTGTAGGAGAGAATCAAACAAGCTTTTCCTATTCATGAACATTGGCTGCTTAGATAATCCATGTTTTAGTCAAGAGGTACAAATCATTTTCCTTGACCTGATGTTACTGGAAGGGTCCTCCCTGGATCTTGCACCAGTGTTGGCTTTGAGGTGTTTTATGGGTTCCAGCTCCCTGATACAGGAGTCAGTGCTTAGTTAATTAATTCACAGGGGATATTAACATTTCCTTGATGCAAACCTGGTCTTTGTTCCCTTTTCAGATCCAGTATTTCGTGCAGAGGCGCCCATCACTCAGGACACTGATAGTTGATGGCTACAGTGAGGTTCTTTTGTAAGCTCCAATATCTTTGATTGCATCTCAGTGTATGGGATCTGCAGTTGAGGCTGAAGCCACCTGTGATAGGAGCTTTGCTATAATTCCCTGGGTCTTCAGAATTGCCAGTGGATATCCTTGAACACATGGGTCTGGGTCAGTGACCTCCTGTGGAGGTAAAGCAAATTAAGTGTCTGAATGCTCAGTGTGTCATGCAGGAGTTAGGAATAGATCTCCAAGTGGGATTTACACATTGTTTATGCAGAAAGCCTCTCCAAGGCCCTTTCTCTTCCCAGCTGGACAATCCCTTGTTCTGCTCTCTCCCCCACGGGGCTGCTCTGTTCCCAGCACCTGTGGCCAGCTCAGCCCTCTGCACTCACACCACCCTTCTCTTCCAGCTTCGTCCACTCCCTGCTCCTGCTGAGCTCTGTGGTGCTCTACTTCTGTGGCCAGGAGCTCTACGTGGCTTCCATGGTGTTCTCCCTGGCCCTGGGCTGGGCCAACATGCTCTACTACACGCGGGGCTTCCAGCAGATGGGGATTTACTCGGTCATGATCGCCAAGGTCAGTGCAGGGAGCGCCTGAGGGGGCAGCAGAGCCCCACCGCAGGAACCTCTGCCTGCAGCCCCATTTCCAGGCCGTGTCTGCCTCTCATATGACTCTGCTACCCTTTGTTATTATTTTCTGAGTGAAGTGATAAAATGTAAGTGATGTAAAAAAAGCCCTCTGCTCTTCACCCATATGTTTTATAGCAGTCTTGATAGGATGATGATGATTATTATTATTTTTATTACCTGCCATGCTTGAAAAGAACTATAATTGGGTAGGCATGGATGCAAGGAGACTGAGAACAGCCTCACCAGTCTCACCAGGCTGCTCTGGTGGGAGATGGCCCAGCTTTCTACCAGCTGGAAATTTCTCCAGGTATAGATAAAATGTTGCCAAACAGAGCAATTAGACAAGAGGCAGTAGCTGGCTAATAAATCTCTCTGTGCTGTAGCCAGCCAGGCCAAGAGGGGAAGAAAGATGAAGCTCCCTTTATGTGGTTTGTGCTCACAAAGAGGAAACTGTTCCCATGTGTATGTGTTGCATTTGTGGGTAAATTGTTGCATGGATAAGAGAAAAATGTTTTCTGTATTAAAGTTTATTATCTCAGCTAGATAATAATGCTTAATGCATGAACAGCCAGTTCAGAGCAGATGCATTCTTGAGCCAAAGCAGTATTTTCTACCAGTTTTTGTTGCAGTTTACATTCAAGTTTTAAAATCTTTCCCTCTGTTTACATGCTACAGATGATCCTTAGAGATTTATGTCGCTTCATGTTTGTCTATCTTGTATTCCTCTTGGGATTTTCCACAGGTAATATTCTACTTGGAGTTACTTTTTTTTTTACCTTAAAGAATCTCAGAAAAGTTAGCTTTTCAAGTTGCTTAGCCATTTTGATCCCAACAAAAAAACTAACAAATTAACCTAATTTAAAAAAAAATCTCTTCAGAATAATGATTATTTGTAGTAATTTCATACAACTTTTCAAAGTTGTAAAGCTGAATAGAAAACCAGTCATCCTTTTCTATGTGGAGAAAACTGAGCCAGCACCTGCTAAGAGGGTGTCAGCTCTGGGGAATATTTTATAGGGCAATTTCCCTGAGGTCAATGTGCCGTGGAAGGAAAGTGTGTTACCTCTCTACTCCTTTTCACTGCTTGCAATGAAGTTATGATCTCAAACTGTGCTTCCATTGTGTGAATTCTCTTTTTGCCCCAGCTGTGGTGACTTTGATTGAAGATGACAACGAGGGGCAGGAAACAAACATCTCTGACTATGCCAGGTGCTGCCACTTGAGACGGGGCCGCACCTCCTACAACAGCCTCTACTACACCTGCCTGGAGCTCTTCAAGTTCACCATTGGCATGGGGGACCTGGAGTTCACAGAGAATTACAGGTTCAAATCTGTGTTTGTCATCCTGCTGGTGCTCTATGTCATCCTCACCTACATCCTCCTGCTCAACATGCTCATTGCACTGATGGGAGAGACTGTCAACAAAATTGCACAGGAGAGCAAGAGCATCTGGAAACTCCAGGTGTGTGGGTTCTGTCAGGCTGCTGTCCAAAAAAAAAGGTGTGGGGAGTCAGAAGAGATTTCAGAAAGAATCCTTAGGAGCTGACATGTATTTAAATAGCAGGTCATTGCTTCTTTCTGATTCACCTGAACAGCTCCTAAAAAAAGTGTATTAGCTCCTTTTCCATGTATATTTGATGTTTTGACTAAGCAGATGTTGCCAGTGTTCCACAGATTTTCAGAATGTAAGCAATGAAGTATTTTTGTAATTGGACTAAATTATTTGGCTTTGTCTGATGGAAAATCCTGATCAGACTATGAAGAGGGAGATTATGCAAGGGGAAAACCAATCTTTACCAGAATCAGTTTTTGTTGGAGGTAAGAAAGGAACTTCACAGTTTTATTCATGGGGCAGTAACTCAGCAATTTCAGTGACATTTTAACAAAGGGTGATGCTGCAGAGTTATAGTGTCTGCTCTAAGATGTTGACAATGATAAAAACTCAGGCTTTTTAAAACAAAGCAAGAATTCAGGATTTGTTTGACTTTGACCAGCAGTCCCTCAGTGCTCTGCTTTCCTTTACCTGGCAGAGAGCCATCACAATCCTGGACATTGAGAACAGCTACTTGAACTGTCTGAGGCACTCGTTCCGCTCTGGGAAGCAGGTCCTGGTGGGGATCACCCCTGATGGCCAAGATGATTACAGATGGTGCTTCAGGTAACCTCTTTGTTTGTGTATCAAGCCAACAAGCTTTTGTAGACAAACAGCTTCAAGTATCTGGTGGTGGGAAGCAGAACTTTCCCCCTGGATCACTCTGAAGAATAGAGCACTAATAGTGTCTGCAATGGTCAGTTTAATCTGGGTTTTGGGTCGGATCTCAGGCTTGAGAGGTGACATTTTGTGGTATAAACTGATCCTGGAGCTGTCTGGTGATCCTTAGAATAGATCTTGGGTTTGTTGTTGCCTCCCCAGGGTTGATGAAGTGAACTGGTCCACGTGGAACACTAATCTGGGCATCATCAACGAGGACCCTGGGTACTCTGGGGACCTCAGACGAAATCTCAGTTTCTCCATTAAGCCTGGCAGAGGTGAGGCTTTCAGAGACCCAAATCCTGCACTCTGGTGAAAGCAGCAGCATGGATTAACTGATGGAGGGCAGTCAGTGCTTTGATAATGCAGTGACTGAGCTGATGGTGTTTTCAGCCAGCACCAAATGCAGAGGATGAAATGGGCTCACTGCTCACAGTTTGACTCTGCAGTAAAAACCAAGGAGCTGCCTTGGAGACCCCAAGCCCCAGAGGCTGGGAGCTCAGCATCCAGCACCAAAGCATTTCACTGTGCAGTCAGCACTTAGCACCTGAAATATGGAAAACTTGTGGAACAGGATGGGGAAGAAAACCACAAAGTCCTTTCTTCCTGCTTCTTTCTTCTTTCAGCAGCTTCCTGTTCAAACCACTTGTATATTTTCTTCTATTTCTGTGGAGGGCAAAAGATTAACCATTCCTTTCCTTTTTAGTTTCAGGGAAGCACTGGAAAACATTGGTTCCACTTCTAAAAGATGGAGAGAAGAGGAGAGAAGAGCCTCACAAGCCACCAGAAGAAGTCAAATTAAAACCTGTTTTGGAACCTTATTTTGAGCCAGAAGATTCTGAGGAGTTGAAAGAGTCAATTCCAAAGTCAGCCTAATTCTGATTGCCTGTGCTGGTCCTCACAAAAGGGACAATAGAGCATTTCATGTACAGGAACAGGGACTTCTGGAAAAAGGTCAGAGGACTTAGGGAATTACCATGTGCAAGGATTTATTTATTACACTAAGTGTGCTAAATAAACTATTTGTTGTTTAAGCTCATGTCTTCATGGTTATTTTCTAATACAAACTTCTGTCTGTTTTTAGAGTCTCTGGTATTAAAAAATCATTTTTGTGAGCATACACAGGCCCTGATTTGGTGTCTTTGCTGCCTCAAAAACCAACCAACCAAATTATTATGACAGTGGAAAAGCACTCATAAAAGAGCAGTAAAAGTCACCAGGATGTTCCTGTGGGGAAAGTTTCTTGGAAAGCAGATAAATAAATGGGGACATGGAAAGAATACAAAATCATTTTCTCATAACACAAGAACAAATACACTCTGAAATTTTAAAGGTTGAATAGTCAAAATCAATGAAATAAATGTTTCTTTTACACTGTCTGAGTAAACTCCAGAAATTCATAGTTATTTTACTGAAGCTAAAAGCTTAACAAGATCCCAAATTTGACATTTATTTAGATAACAGATGAACTTTGCACAAAGTAAGAGATAGTGGTTATAGAGAATATATGTTTCAAAGGTCAGATGTATAACAATGTACAACAATGATAATCTTGAAATTAGAAAGTTTTTGTTCTTGATTTTGACAGCAACAGGGAAAAAATCTGGTGCTGAAAATCCATCTGGCTGGATCTATAAAGAGAATAAGGAAAAATATCAGAGGGAAAATAGGCAGATGTTCTGAAAATACAGATGGGAGCCTTGGAAAGAGAGGAAAGAATAAGAGGAACTTTGGCATCTTCTTGAAAAGTGAGTGGGCACAGAGGAGTTAAGGACAAGAAAATTTGTTTTATTGACAGCTGGCCCCATATTTCAGTGCTGGGCCACACTGCAGCTGTGCTGGGCAAGAAGAGATAAATGATTTTACCTTCTTTCCTTCTATCCCTAAAGCACTTGGAGTAAACAGCCTTTAACAGAGAGCACACACAACTCCCTGAGTCAGCCAGGTGTTTAACCAGGGCCTGCAGCTGTTCCTGGGCTTTCACTGGAGTACAGATCATTTTCATCAGTAAATCTTGTAATTTTCTGCATTTACCAAAATCCTGGGACATCAACTGCTTTTAAAGAGAAGCAGCCAATGTGTTTGTGCACAGGCTGCCCTGTGAGATGAAATTTTGGGTTGTGTGACATCACTCCTTTTACTGGAGTCAGGATTTCTCACTGTGGTCCTTTCTCATGGGGCACTATAGAATATATTTCAAGGAAATCTCTAAACATCCAGCTGCTTTATTTGAAATAGTAGCACCATCTAGAGGACTAATAATTCTTGTTTCTTTGGTTAACAACACTCAGGACAAATGTAATTTTATTTTCACAGAGTTGTAGGGTATAACCAGAGAAAACTGACAAAGGATTTGAAAGAATTACTTGAAGAAAGTCACAATTTGAAATGGAAATAATCAGAATTCAATGTCTCTGGTGGACAAGGAAGCCACAGAAGATGTTTAAAGTAGGTGTGTTCAGTTTCATATCTCTAAACCCTTGGTAGCAGTCTCTAGGTGCCCCTCAAGGCTTCATTATGCTCCACTCTGAGCTTGGCAAGAGACAATCCACATGTAAAACAAGCACAGCTGAGTAGGCCAGACAAGCTGAGACAGTGAAATAATTTATTATTTAAACTACTAAGAATAAACATAGAAAGGAGCTGACCAGAAAAACACGGTTGGTTGTCTCTGTGCTTTGTATGCCACAGCAAATTTATGCTTGGAGGGACACCAGGATTATGATATAGCTGGAAAGCATTCATGAAATTTCTGTTTTCCCTGAGAGGAATCCATTTTTCATAATTATCAGCCTGGGGAGAGACCTAATTCATTGCTTAAAACCCACCCTGATTTCCATCAAGAGCCAATCCAGAAGGGTTGGTCACTGCCCTGGGTGAGCTGAACACATCCTACACCTCTGCCTTCCTGTCCCTTCCTGCTCAGAAAGATCACAAAGACTGCAAAGGACTTCTTACAACCAGAAATGCTGAAATTCAGGCTGAAAACATACATCAGAATGATGCTGTGGTTAAGAATGTAAATACCCTGTATTTGTGGGATAGGGTGGTGCTGGTGGGGTTTTTGGTTGCATTTCTAAAATCCCTTAATCTTCTCTGGGAAGCAAACAAAGTTATCCCACTTTTCTAGAGGGAGTTATTACCAAGCTCTCAGAATTTCCAGCCAAATCATCAGTTCTGCAGTGGGCACAGATTTATATTTATTTCCCACAGATGGGGAGGTTCAGCTTGGCAGTGACTCCACTTCAGGAGTGTTTGTCCTTTAGGACCAGCACCTTTCTGTTCCTACTGCTGACACCTCCACTGAGGAGAAGCATGGCCCTGCAATAAATGATCTTTATTTGGGCTGTTTTGTGGAGCTTCTGCTCACCTTTAGTTTGAAGTTTGTGCAATTATTTCACACTGAACAGGGTTAGAAGCAGCACATGGCTCCTGGGCTGTTTTTGAGGCTTGCAGGGGGTAAAAATCTGTCTTCTCACAGTTATTAATTACATTAATTTGTGTCTACACTTAATAGGAGATGATCAGGTTGGACAACTGTATATAAATATATAAATATAACCCCCAGCTCCCAATAACCACAGTGGAACTGGAGGAAAAGAAATGGAGGCTGTTGATGTGTTCCCCTCCCATTAGAGGGTGGCAGCTGTAATTAACAGTGACTGCACTGTGTGGATGGAGATTGCAGGAAGGGGTGAGCTGGGCTCAGCTTCCCTGGGAGGTGAGAAGGGATCCATGAACATGTGGAAAACCAAAACACAATCTCAGTATTGTCAGCATTTCCATCCCTGAGATGCAAATGGTCGAGTCAGCCATGAAAACTGAGCTGCTTTTCAAACTCCAGTAACTCCTGAATTATTGAGAAAAAACCACACACCCTGCCTGGAAACCTTGGAGCCACACATCCTGCTGTTCATGTGCCCTCTGCCACAGCTGCACTGGAGTGTGAATATCCCCTGTCCCAATTAAACACCAATGTTAATCCCTTCTCAGGCAGTTTTTAATGGGGTCTGTGGCAGAGCAGGGCCCACAAGAGGGGTCCCACACTTGGGTGGGGCTGCTGCTGTTCCCCTGGCCCCAGGACAGCCCCTCTCCCTCTGATGCCACTGTCCTGCTTTGCTGCTCTGCTCAAATTCATGGCACACAATCTGATTTATTTTTGTAAATAAATTTGTCCCCTGCCAGCTCATTCTGTCACTATTCTGTGGTCTGGATATCAGAGTCAGTCAAGGATCTTTGCTGGAGGCCTCAATACTCAAATACTCAACACTCAAATACTCAAACTCAAATACTCAACACTCAAAACCCCACAAGGTGTGTGCTCAGCAGGTGCTGCTGTGCTACAAAACACAGGGGATCCTGCCAAGCCCAGCTTTAAGGGATAAAGCCAGTGCTCTCAGCTTCTGAGGCTTCAAGCTTTCAGAATTCCACCAACAGGAATTTTATTCCTATTGTTTTTGTTCAAAATGTTGTGGTAAATCTTCCAAATTCAAAAAACTTCCATTAAAAATCCCAGGCAAGCTGGGGGTCAGGCAGTGTTTTGGGTATTTGAGAGCAGCTTGCATGCTCAGAGAGAACCCTCCTGCAATGAAAAATGCTCCTTACAAGTCTCCCTGTCTGCTCCACTGGGCACAGGCATGGATTTACCAGGCCTGGGGAGGAAGAGGATTCCATTGATGTTGCCAGAGTCAGCACAGGCACCCTGGCTCTCCTTGATGTGGTTCTAGGGCTCTGAAATGCTTCCCATCAGCCACACCATGCAGGCTGGGATTCCTTCTCACCCTGGAATAGCTTCCACAGAGGAAACAGGGATCCAGTTTCTCCCACAGCACATGTTAATCTTCAAAACACGTGGTGGGGAGCACTAATTTCTCTGGGAAGGAGGAAAAATCAACCAGCTGAGCTCACTGGACTGCTCTCCTCCTGCTGTGCTGGTGATGCTGTGGCTCCATCTCCATCTGAAATATTCCCTGTTCCTGTGGGCAGGGCAGGAGACGCCAACACTCAGCATCATCGAGGTTTTTCAGGCTCCATCATCACCCAGAGCTGTGTTCCTCACTCATTGCTGTAATCAGCCTCTAAAATCAACATTTTAGTCACCTGGATGTTGGTATGGAAGGTGGAATTGCCGTGTCAGGCAGCAGGAGCAGCTCCCAGTTCCAGGAACTGGAGGAAGTGTCTGAGTCACTGGGCCAGAAAGGGCAGTTTCCAGCCATGTCACCAAGTCCAGGCCACTTCTGTCCAAGCTGACAGAGGAGGTTTAAGCCAGGCAGTTCCTCTTTTTCCAGAGAAGAATGTGGATAATGACCCACCCAGGGAAAAGGGAGCTCCTGTCAGAGGGGGAAAGCCTGGAGGGCTTTAGGGGCAAAGAAGAACACACAAGGAACACAACATCCCTCATGAAAGGAGTTTAGGGCTGGAAATGGGTGAAGTTTTCTCTAGAGGATGAATGCAGGAACAGATAGAAACAGCTGGTTTTGAAATGTGCACAGGATAACTGAAAACTGAGAGAGGAGATGATTTGCATAATGAAAGAGGTTTTAATTAGAATAATGGGTTGAAACTGAGGCAGGGAAAATGTATCCTGGAAAGATGCTGGGGCACATATGATACATGTCTGCCCAAAGAATTCCCTTTGGGATCACTGGAAGTTTCAAACACCAGATTTATCCAGTGCCCTCCTGACTGCAGCAACAAGGGACCTGCAGGTTTTGGTGCTCTTGTTTTGGGGACCCAAAGCATCTGAGGGTTTATTTCAACTGGAAGATGTTCACCTTCAATTCTTCATTTATTTATTCATCAGAAAGAACTTGACAAAAAGTGGAAGGGGCCTGCAGGGACTTCAGTTTGTCACAGCTCCTGAGCTGCAGCTGATACAAAATTCAGCTCTCAGTTTAAGGCCTGATAGTGGGTGAATTTTTGCTCCCCTCCTGTGTTTTACAGGTCTAAACAGATCTTTGGAGAGGGAATGGAAATGAACCATTCCCCAGATTTAGATGGATGAGACAGATAAAAATATCCCCATTCTAAGAAG